AAATACAGATACTGTACAACACAAATAACACGTAAAACACTAAGAAATGCCTGAAAACCGTAGAAGAAATGTCGCTCCTCAGTCGGTGATGGCTGCCATAAGCGGAAGTGAGGTTTTGGGTCATGCGCGGTGCGTTCGTACCAAGCATTAAGGGTCCTCTCACGGGATATTTATTTTCTTTGTTATGTAAATTATGGGCTGCCGGTGGAAATACGCTATTGTCTATATGGTGGTGAGGTATTATTGAAATAAACAGCATGTTTGATATGGGGCAGTGCAGTGAGCAGACGACATGTTTGATATGGGAGGATGCAGTGAGCAGACGACAGAAGATTCTGTTTAGTTTATGGTTGTAACAATGCCTAACATATATTACAATTTTCACAAGTTTTCTTCAAATTCTGTTCCTACTGGCTTCCTGATTGATTCTTTGGCTTTATCTTTGCCTGGGATCTCTGTTGGTATACAACAAAGCACACACATCAAATTACAGCACAATATACAACTATACCGTTCCTCTAGCCCACATACCAGTCTCAAGTCCTTATGGAGCAATACAATATCATAGGAATAAAGATTCACTCAATATAAAATAATGCTAGACTGTAGTTTATTTGTTTAGATCAAATGCTTTGAAATTTCATTTATTAAATTCAAATATAGAAGGTATGGTTTTTATCTAATGGAGTGCTCTCCCCTGGTGCCTGAAGCCTAGTTGAATAGACTTAACTAACAAGGGTGAATTTGTTTCAGTGTCCTTTGTGAATTAGATTACTTGTGCTTGTGGAGGCAGCAATCAATGGTTTAATCTGTGGGACGCCTTGCCCGATATGTCAGTGTGATGTCTGGCAGACCCATGTGGTCGACATTCAAGCCCCGGGCACATCATCCAAAAACAAATTTTCCTATGAGTTACTGAAAATCTAATAAGTGTTTTCTGACGGCATTTAGGAACAATTTTGTAGCAGTGTCCTATTTTTTCTTTCTCACCAAATATTAAGTTATGTCAGAGAGCCAATGACCTCATGGTTCATAAGATGTATACAGTCAAACATCTAACAGGTGAAACCTGAGATCTGGAGGACACCAGAAAAAAACCTGACACTAGTGATAGCACCAGCTAGACCTGATAGGTTAGAATGACATCAATAGAATGTCAGATCAATGATGTCAAACATAAACTAAAGTGACATCCGTAAAATATCAAACCAATAGGTGAATATAAACAAGTGTGTTACAATGACATCAGTAGGATGTTAGATCTGTGATGTCCATATGAACTATAGAGACCTCCAATAAATATCGCATCAATAGATGTATATAAACTACAGTGTGTTACAGTGACATCAGTAGGATGTTAGATATATAATGTCCACATGAACTATAGAGACCTCCAATAAATATCACATCAATAGATGTATATAAACTACAGTGTGTTACAGTGACATCAGTAGGATGTTAGATCTGTGATGTCCATATGAACTATAGAGACCTCCAATAAATATCACATCAATAGATATATATAAACTACAGTGTGTTACGATGACATCAGCAGAATGTCAGGTCAATCAGTATATATGAATAACTGTGTTAAAAAGTGACATCAATAAAATGTCAGACTAAAAAAGTGTACCTGGTATTTAAACTACTGTGTGTTACAGTGACATCAGTAGAATGCCAGGTCAATAATGCCAACATGAACTACAGTGTGTTATCTAATGACATCAGAAGGATATAAGATCATAAATTCCCAGCAAACTATGGCGTGTGATTGACTGTCTGCAGTACAAATCCATTAGTTTGATGACGATAGACAAATCTGCTTCAGGTGACAACTCCTGTTTAAGTATTCCACAAGACACATTCACCCAGAACACTGTCCCCTTAATGAGACTCCTCTCAGACTTTAAATGACAGCCTGAAATTTCTAGAATTCTAGTGACAGAGAGCTACTTGTTTGGTGTTGACATTAGTAGCTGGTCCAGGTTGGTTTAAAGGGAAAGAGATTTTCTACATGTGACTGTAGAGTTTAGGAAACTTGGAATATATTTCTCTTGGGTGATCACTTGATCAATTAAGATATTTGTCTGTAATTCTCTTAATTCAGAAAGGCAGTTGTTCCAGGTTATATATCTAAATATGATAAATTACAGGGTAATTTTCGCTGAACATGACTATGATTTACAACAATGAAACATATTTGGCTGTTTGTTAAGAATCCAGAAAAAATGGCTAGAATTTCGGTTGTTTTCTTTTTATGTAAAGTCAACAAATTTATTGCTTCTGTAGTAAATAATACTTTGGACTTCTTTTACAAGAATTTTTCTCAATCTTTGGGATTTACTATCTATAGATGTATAAATAAAAGTAAGTCCTTCTCTGCTGTGTTCTTTATCTGTTTATTTCTGCCACTACAAGGGACCCAGGCTTTGTTTAATGCCTCGGGGGACATACAAGGTAACTATGGCAACATCACACATCATCCTCATCTTCATTTCATCATGCCTGTACAGTGGTTGGTTGCCTGTATTCATTTTTGTCATTTTTGTGGATTATTTTATTTTACTGTATTGTCTGGTTGTGACCTTTGACCTTGATTTTCCCTTAGTCCTGCCTCTATCCAATCATTAGACAGATTGTGTCTAACTCCTGTCAGAAAACATCATGTGAACTCTGCCACTTTTACTTTCCTTTCTTTTTTTATTTTATGAATGTAGTAATGATATCAAAGTAAGTATTTGATAAATAAATAATGTGATGTTTTAAATCCACATAGATGTTGTCAATTGTGTGTAATAAAAGCAACGGAAAGCTGGAGGAAATACCATGGTAACGGTTCTGTATCCCTTCTGTTGTTTCCATGTGCCTTTATCGCTTTTGGCTTAACCTCATTGTAACATACAGTTATGATTTGTTTTGTGGATAAAGCCCAGCTATTCTATTTGTTATTAAGGAAGCTTATTCCATTACACCAATAAATCCTTGATTGAATTATATGGCCTTTCGTACTTAAAGACAGTTTCATTTCTTCTCTCCAAAGCTACACACGACTTTGAGAGAAATTAAACTGGGTGAAGAATAGCTGGGTGAATATTAATGATTTTCCTTGAAAGTTAGTAAGATCGGAAGCGGAAACTAGTGATTAGGGTTTATTATCATTGTAATGTAACATTAACTGATATCATGTTACTAATTAACAGATTCATCTGTCACAGTTTTTTTAACCTCAAGTTTTGAATAATAATGACAAGATTAACAGGATCGTGCATGATGTTGAGTTCTCCTGCATGTTACGTCAGTCAGTTCCGTGGCTATTGTGTTTGGTAGTAAGAGCGTTTTATGGTATGTACAATAAAAACACAATTAAAAAAAAAAAACTGAAGTTGTTTGATGGTTTCTAGCTATTTTGATATAAATATGGTGAAGAGTTTACAAGTATGATCATCATGAATAATAATTGCTGATGTTGATGTTGATTACATGGTTCTGCCGCAGGCAATGACACTCGTGGTTCTGCCGCAGGCAATGACACTCGAGGTTCCACCGTCAGCAATGGCACTCGAGCTTCCGCCTGCGCTCAGCACTTGTGCTTTATTTAGCACTTGGTTTTCATACACATCAATTTTTATATCTTGTTACTCAAGCAAACTTGAGTAATCAATCTTTAGACTTTATTTTTGTGAATTCAAGAATGTGCTTTATCAGCTTTTGTTACAGCAACAGTCACATCTTAGCTTCAAGAAATTTGATTTTCTTGAAGAGTAAAGATATTAGATTAAATGAAAAAAAGTTATGCTTACATCATTTCATCCTTGAGACTGTCAAATACTGCTGACAAATTCAGTTTTGGATGTAAAATCTTTTTTCTACAGTTTATGATGAAGTAATCAATATATATATTGCAGCAATACATTTATTGACAGTTCAGAATTTCTGTGTATTCTGGTAGTGTTTTCACAAAATCATGATAGAAACTTTTCTTTTGATGTAAAGATCTATATGGCATTTACAATAAACTACAGACATTACATTATATGTTAATTCTACATTCAATCCGTCCCTGGTTATATGATTTTGGAAAACAGAACAACAATGAAATATTTGTTATTACTTGACAATTCTTCTTTAGTTCACACTGGTTTTTTCTCTCGTTTAAATAATTGTAGTTAGAAACTTTGTAAACACCTGTAGAATATATTTCCATAGGAAAAATAAGAAAAACAACAAAGATAGGTAGTGCTAATTCTAGGGTACACTTCTAGACCACATCTGTTATGAGGATAGGTAGTGCTAATTCTAGGGTACACTTCTAGACCACATCTCTAACAAGGATAGGTAGTGCTAATTCTAGGGTACACTTCTAGACCACATCTCTAACAAGGATAGGTAGTGCTAATTCTAGGGTACACTTCTAGACCATATATCCAACAAGGATAGGTAGTGCTAATTCTAGGGTACACTTCTAGACCACATCTCTAACAATGATAGGTAGTGCTAATTCTAGGGTACACTTCTAGACCACACCTCTAACGAGGATAGGTAATTCTAGGGCAAGGTTCTATTGTGTGTTAAATTTGTTTGAGCTTATAAAGTTATGATGGTACAATTGTTGTTAGTATAATTTTTGGCCTTTCTGATAATTTTTTGACCACTTATCACAGGTATTGGTGTACATATCGCCCGGGAGGCCCTGGTGGTCAGTGTGCATAGTGAAACCATCAAACAAGTCCACTATGTCGATATCAATAACCCGGAGAATCTGAGACGTGACATCTACCCGACCTTAACCAACCCCACTGCTATCTCTGTGGACTGGCTTAGTGATTTGGTCTATATTGTGAATGATCTGCAGGTAAGTCATCGTAGCATCTGACCAGAATAATGCATCATTTTCACCTTCAGTAACCATATTGGATACAGAGGAGTATTCGTTTCACTGAGTCAATCACAAAGTGGTTGAAAATTATGGGTTTAATCTTCAATATTGAATGAGATTGCCTAATGTGAAGATTATATGTCATGTGTAAAAAATGGATCTATCTTTAGAGAATTTATGAGTCATTTTAGTAATGAAAATTGTGAACAAATACCTGTATACAGCTCTGTACATTGAATCCTGTTGAAACAAATGTATAGGTACATTTAGTATTACAGCCTGTATCAAAGACAAGAATCCTCCTGTATCAAATGTATAGGTACATTTAGTATTACAGCCTGTATCAAAGACAAGAATCCTCCTGTATCAAATGTATAGGTACATTTAGTATTACAGCCTGTATCAAAGACAAGAATCCTCCTGTATCAAATGTATAGGTACATTTAGTATTACAGCCTGTAGCAAAGACAAGAATCCTCCTGTATCAAATGTATAGGTACATTTAGTATTACAGCCTGTATCAAATGTATAGGTACATTTAGTATTACAGCCTGTATCAAAGACAAACATCCTCCTGTATCAAATGTATAGGTACACCTAGTATTACAGCCTGTATAACATGTATAGGTACACCTAGTATTACAGCCGGTATCAAAGACATGAATTCCCCCATAACTTGTCATACTTTACCTTCACAGATGAAACTAGTAGTTACATGTATACTATCTATGTAGGTAGTATGTCCTTAGGATGTAAACACAGTGTGAGGATTTTATACAAAAAATGAACAGTTTACATGTACTAACTTCTATCTATTGGGAAGCAGACAAGTGTTACACTGTGTTTAAGAAATAATGGCTGTTTCAGATCTACCAATGTGAGATTGATGCGAATTCCTGTGACACAGTAGCAACAGGGCCTTTGTCTACTACGGTTACAGACCTGGACATTGATCCACTGAATGGGTTTGTATAATTGTGCAGCTCTAGAACAATACTTTCCAACACCTGCATGCGTAAATAGATTTAAAGAGAATTTCACAGATAGCAGAACATGAATTCAATACAGACAGATTGAAACAAATTTACTCTTACAACGACACTTTTACATCAGATTGTTTAAAATCATACATGACATGCAGCAATGCATCCGGTCCTTAAAGAGATTCTCCAGGATCGACACAAGTTTAGCTGAAAATTCTAGACTACAGTAGCTGTAATTTTACAGGAAAGAAATCACATTTATTGTAATTTGGTGACTGGCAAGCTTGTCTGTGGCAGGGAATATCACAATAAATATGCTTCACTTATACACAATATGTAAAGTAATGAAAGTAGTTGATGCTGACTCCATGACACAAGAGGATTATGTAATGGAGTAGACGACAGCCATAAAGCTACAGTGACTGTTGTAAAGATGAAGGCATGGCTAGGATGAGATGTGATGTATGATAACAGGACATGATAATTCCATATGTAGGAGGTTTCCTGTATAGAATGCTCAATGAAGTATGTGAAAGGACCTTATATTACTGATCTTCTCGAATAAAAATTAACATATAAATACTTACACAGAAAACATTGAAAATGATTTGTCAGCTTTTTACATAAAACAGAACTCTTCAGTCTACAATGAATCTTCAGTCAGCTAGACAAACAGTCGTGATGGAAAAATTGTATGTATGTAAAAAGCATTGTATATTTTACTTTGGTAAATATAAAACAAACAAAATTCATTGTTATAATTTAATGTAATGGTAATTTATCAAATATCTTCAACAAATAAGGAAATGAAAGGTTAGAAATAAAAAAAACAGTAACAGAAAGAACAAGAAAAGTGAAGAAAAATGAGAGGAAAGGGACAATAAGACAGAAGATAGTGAAAGAAAAATGATAGTAAGGAATGTGAGAGAAAGAACGCAATAGAACAAATAGATAGAGAGATAAGTACGAAAAAAATGCTAGGTAAAGAACAGTGAGAAAGTTCTAACACTATAGTAGAAAAAAACAACATTATTTGTCCTTCAATAATCCCCATGGGGACAACATATCATGATATATTAATAGCGGACCTTATTACTAAACAATAGGCACAATGGGGTGAACACATCTCATCTGATACACTCATAACTTTCCTTATTACAAGAAAATAGTCACTATGGGGCCAACACATCACATCTGATACATGCATAACTTTCCTTATTACAAGAAAATAGTCACTATGGGGCAAACACATCAAATCTGATACACTCATAACTTTCCTTATTACAAGAAAATAGTCACTACGGGGCAAACACATCACATCTGATACACTCATAACTTTCCTTATTACAAGAAAATAGTCACTATGGGGCCAACACATCACATCTGATACATGCATAACTTTCCTTATTACAAGAAAATAGTCACTATGGGGCCAACACATCACATCTGATACATGCATAACTTTCCTTATTACAAGAAAATAGTCACTACGGGGCCAACACATCACATCTGATACATGCATAACTTTCCTTATTACAAGAAAATAGTCACTATGGGGCCAACACATCACATCTGATACATGCATAACTTTCCTTATTACAAGAAAATAGTCACTATGGGGCCAACACATCACATCTGATACATGCATAACTTTCCTTATTACAAGAAAATAGTCACTATGGGGCCAACACATCACATCTGATACATGCATAACTTTCCTTATTACAAGAAAATAGTCTTTCACATCTGATACATGCATAACTTTCCTTATTACAAGAAAATAGTCACTATGGGGCCAACACATCACATCTGATACATGCATAACTTTCCTTATTACAAGAAAATAGTCACTATGGGGCCAACACATCACATCTGATACATGCATAACTTTCCTTATTACAAGAAAATAGTCACTATGGGGCCAACACATCACATCTGATACATGCATCTGATACACATAACTTTCCTTATTACAAGAAAATAGTCACTATGGGGCCAACACATCACATCTGATACATGCATAACTTTCCTTATTACAAGAAAATAGTCACTACGGGGCCAACACATGGGGCTTTCCTTAACACATCACATCTGATACATGCATAACTTTCCTTATTACAAGAAAATAACTAGGGGCCAACACATCACATCTGATACATGCATAACTTTCCTTATTACAAGAAAATAGTCACTACGGGGCCAACACATCACATCTGATACATGCATAACTTTCCTTATTACAAGAAAATAGTCACTACGGGGCCAACACATCACATCTGATACATGCATAACTTTCCTTATTACAAGAAAATAGTCACTATGGGGCCAACACATCACATCTGATACATGCATAACTTTCCTTATTACAAGAAAATAGTCACTATGGGGCCAACACATCACATCTGATACACTCATAACTTTCCTTATTACAAGAAAATAGTCACTATGGGGCCAACACATCACATCTGATAGCTGGCATTACTACTAGACAACAATAAAGCATTTGTGATTGATCTAATAAATAACCAAAGGTATATGGATGGGCTCATTATACAGGTTCTTATCCAGCAAGTAAAGCTGAAGTCATTGGATACACCTGCCAAATATATTTTAGCTTTATATGGGAGTAATGGAAAAAACAGCGCTATTTTAGCAACTGCACTAATTTGGCAGTATTACTTTCTTATATACTTAAGTATTACATACAAACAACTGTGTAAAGAAGTGATTTTATTTGTTGTAGCAAAGAAGTTAATTTACAAAAAATTATGAAATTGTTTTTCATATCCATTTTTGCGTGGAACTTTATTTTCATGCAGGGAAATTATTTTGACGATGTCATGAGGTAAAACTTAGCCTAACATCAACATTAATTAGGTAAACAAAGACTAAACAACAAACGGTTGAAGTTTCATTTGTCAGAATTTCTAGGAAATGTTGCAGGTTAGATAGACTGTATGGTGACAGCTTTCTTTATTTTAAGACAATGACCATTTATTTTCCATTTTGTCAAATAAATATTGTTCTCAAAATTAATTACAAATAAAGTTTTATATGAACGGAATAAAATCAAATATCCATGTGTATTTGAATACTTGATTTATGTTGTTGTGTTTATTTCACCTGCAGGTTTTTATACTTTACTCAGAGTGGGAACTATGGAGGTCTTTATAGGATTGATACTGGAGAGATCCAAAATTGGGGTCGTTTTTTCACAAGGTCAGCAAAACCTTCATTAGTCACGTATTGTGAACTCAGTGCATTCTTCATAGACCATGGTAATATGCAGCTGTACTTTCCCAATGACTCTCAGAACACCATGCTCACCTCTTTCCTGGATGGCAGTGGTCAAGAAGACTTACGTAAGGGCAAGGTGTTATGGCGAAACTTTCACAATATAAGCAGCATGGTCTTCTACAACGGCACTTTTTGGTGGACTAATGGTGACACAGTGATGACAGAAGAACACGACATTGACAGTGACATTTTATACCACAACTCCATTCTCTTCTTTACTCATCATTACACCTCCTTCAACCTGTACCTGCCCACCACCCAGCCACCAGCAGGTAGGACATTTGACAATTAACAATCATATCTATCTCAAGTTCCTTATTTTATGATATGTATTAAATTTGTTTCATTTGTCGATTCTTAAAAATCTTGCTGTTGTCCACTCAAATACTTCAAAATTTTACACAGAGAAAAGTAAAAACGTAATTCACCTGATTATGCTGTATATTTGTCATGAGCTTGCCTTCCTCCATTTTGTTACCAACAGTTCCGCACAGTCCACCACAGAACCTGCAAGCACTGTTCACCTCTACCAAGGTCAAAGTCGAGTGGTCACAGCCTCAAAAGTTATCATACCAAGGTCAAGGTGCATGGGCACGTTGGCAGTATGAGGTCAGCATCATGATGAGAGAGACAGGTGAGGAGACGATTTTAAGTGGTATCAATGGAAAAAGTCTGGAGCAGGTGGACATGATCCCGGATAAAATTTACGTCATCAAAGCCAGAGCCTGCTGTAACCTTGGCTGTGGGCCATGGTCCAGTGAATTTATTGGCCGGACTCTGCCTATAGGTAAGGACAAGTGTGACGATAAACAACTGTATTTCCGTAGTCTCCATGTTCATTCATTTGTAATTTTCTCAGATCTGCTATGATTTTTGTTGTATACCTGGTGAAGCCCGAACAGAATGAAACATGTAGATGAGTGTAATGAATTATAAACTCAAACTTGGAAGCTTTTGTGGTTGTTTTAGGTTGGACTGATCATAAGCACTTTAGTTAGGTATATAGACATTGCTCATCTTGTAATAAGATTTTGTTGGATTTCTGTTATAGCTGCTTCAAACGCCACCTTGCTCTTTTCCTGGTGGTTGCGAAGATCCAACAGATTGATAGAGGTTGACATGTACGGCAAAAGAATCAGAATGGCCACCATTGACTCGAAGGCAGTGTTTAAAGGTACCTAAAGTTAAACATTGATTTTATTGTAATGTATATGAATAAACTAATGTGGATTAATTTTATAAAGAACCAGTGCCAAACTCCCTCTATGATTTCTTGTTGCTCAAAAGAATTTACTTACTAAAAAGGAAATATTTGATAAAGCATGATTTTGTTTGTTGCAGACTTTGCCTGGAGTAGCAGAGATATCTATTGGACTGCAAATGATGGCAAATTATATACATGTGACCGCACCACTCTCGGATCTTTCACTCAGGTTGCATTCGCTGGAAAATCCATCTCTGCTGTTACATATGACTGGCTTGGTCATAAACTCTACTGGTCTGTCTCTAACTTGGGGGTGGTAAGTCACTTCAGACATGAACAGAAGTGTTAGGAAGTGATTCTAACATTAGTCGATATGTATAAAGATTCCAATATTATGAGGAATAAAAACGGGTCCAGGTTCTCCCTTCATCTTTGACTAGTTCCTGATTTTTGCAATCAAAATAAAAGTTTTCCACAGGCCTATTCCAAGAACATATGCTTACTCTACATTGTAGATCCGACGGTCGTCAGTAGATGGGAGGTCTGTGGAGTTTGTCACCCAGGCAACAGCCCACCATATGGCTGTGGACTCACTAGCCGGCAGACTATACTGGACCACCACCAATACTTTAGAGTCAGTTGCCCTCAATGGAGAGGACCATTATCTCCACTTCTCTATCCCATTTTTCTCTGGTAAACATGTGATCAGTCTGACCCTAAACCTGGACATGGGGAAGGTTCTGTGGTATGTACGAGGCTACAGGAAACAAGAGTTGTATATGACACACCTTGTCAGCAATGGGGAAGATCATGACCTCACACAGCCTTATACCTTCATCGGCAGCTTCACAAGTATATCTGAGTAAGTCAACCAGTAGTGACATGTATGTGTATTTTACCGGTATTGTGGTCAGTTTAGAAATACAGATGATGTAATTTGCCTGTATATAGAGACCAACTGACTGAAAACCTACCTGTATAGTGACAAGACAGTTTATTGTCTACCTGCATATATAGCAATAAGGATATATTACAAAATACCTGTAAATACTGTAACGTTAACCAAAAGCTTACCTTGTATTTTGCACAGGATGTCAGGACTGCACTATTACTCACACCGAATGTTCTGGAAGAATGATGACAATAAAATTGTGGTTGGGGATATGGAATGTAACCACACATCAGATGTCTCCAGCTACAGTGTAAATGGCTTCACAGTGCTACATCACTCCCTACAGCCATACCCAGGTAAACATCACTCCCTACAGCCATACCCAGATATACATCACTCCTTACAGCCATACCCAGGTATACATCACTCCCTACAGCCATACCCAGGTATACATCACTCCCTACAGCCATACCCAGGTATACATCACTCCTTAAAGCCATACCCAGGTATACAGGTATACATCACTCCCTACAGCCATACCCAGGTATACATCACTCCCTACAGCCATACCCAGGTATACATCACTCCCTACAGCCATACCCAGGTATACATCACTCCTTACAGCCATACCCAGGTATACATCACTCCCTACAGCCATACCCAGGTATACATCACTCCTTACAGCCATACCCAGGTATACATCACACCTAACAGCCATACCCAGGTATACATCACTCCCTACAGCCATACCCAGGTATACATCACTCCCTACAGCCATACCCAAGTATACATCACTCCCTACAGCCATACCCAGGTATACATCACTCCTTAAAGCCATACCCAGTTATACATCACTCCTTAAAGCCATACCCAGTTATACATCACTCCTTACAGCCATACCCAGGTATACATCATTCCCTACAGCCATACCCAGGTATACATCACTCCTTACAGCCATACCCAGGTATACATCACTCCTTACAGCCATACCCAGGTATACATCACTCCTTACAGCCATACCCAGGTATACATTACTCCTTACAGCCATACCCAGGTATACATCACTCCTTACAGCCATACCCAGGTATACATCACTCCCTACAGCCATACCCAGGTATACATCACTCCCTACAGCCATACCCAGGTATACATCACTCCTTACAGCCATACCTAGTTATACATCACTCCTTACAGCCATACCCAGGTATACATCACTCCTTACAGCCATTCCCAGGTATACATCACTCCTTAAAGCCATACCCAGGTATACATCACTCCTTACAGCCATACCTAGGTATACATCACTCCTTACAGCCATACCCAGGTATACATCACTCCTGCCAAAAGTCTTCAGATTAAATATCTTGATCACTGAGAAATGTTTTTTGTTTACCAGTTGGTATGAATGAGTCCACATTGATGATCATACCAGGAGCTGTCCCTACAGAAACCATCCAGTGTCAAGGTCATTGGGCAGATTTCAACCTCACATGGAGTCCAGCAACTGTCACCTATGGCAATGTCTTCTACGAAGTGTCTATTGAAGTCCCACATAGTTCTAACAAGAAAATGCTGGTAAAGTCTTAATGAAATATATTCATATTTTTTTTTATTTGTTTGTACCAAAGTTTTGGACCACCTGTATCAAAATTGCCTTGCTTTATATCCTTGGTTAATCTTAGAAGGAATGAACTGAGAATGTTTGTATCATTTGTCTTTCCTTGATTAAACTTGAAGCTGGGTGTTTTCAAACAAGAATCAGTAGTGTGGACAGGTGGAATGACAAAGGTCCTCCATCCCTAAGAACAAGAATATACCTTAGTGAGTTTAGAAATATCCTAGAAAGTTTGTTTCTACATTGCTCAGTAATTTTTCCAGTTTCAGAAAATGGAGGAAACTTGGTACAAAATGCCAAACTTACCCCCTTACAGTGAGATCATTGTATCACTGCGAGCCTATACTTACTGGGGCAATGGACCTGTCACCACAGTTACCGTTCACTCACCAATGTCAGGTAAAACTACAATACAATGTACAATATCTAGGTTTATCTATGTGAATTTGTATGACATCTAAGTTTATCTCTGTAAACTTGTATAACACCTAGATTTATCTATGTGAATTTGTATAACATCTAGATTTATATTGGAATTTGGATATTACTACATATATATCAATAGCTGTTTCATATCATTCATTTAATGTGTTAAATTTATTTCTGGAAATTGGATATCACTATATGTAGGCAATTAAGTGTAAACACAAAACTTGAATTGCATTGAATGATGTGAAATTTGATACCTGTGGTCAATTTTTAGCTTATTAAACACCAAAATTTTAGTTGTGGGAAAGTTACAAACTAAATTGAATTTCATTAACAACATTGCATATATCAAGTTTCCATTGCAAACTGTCAACATACAGCAGTCTTTTGGCATGGACAATAAGTCTTAAGACTATCCGTCGATAAAACTATCTATAGAAAATAAAACAAAGTGTTAACCTGTTAACAGTGCCTGGTAAACCCCTGCAACCACGTGTGTATGTAACACCATACAAGGATGCCCTCACTTCCCATCATGCCCTGGCAGCTGACTTCCGTTGGATGAAGCCAAATGTCACAAATGGACCAATCAGCCACTACAATATCTCTCATTGGTCAATGAGTGTTGGAAATGGCCAGGTGTTTGTGGTGACCAGTCCAGCTATTGCTCGACATTTTATCCTAGAAAACCTTCTTCCGAATGCCTCATACTCATTCCAGGTAGATTTTTACTTCGTGTTGCCTGGTACTCCTTCCAAGTAGACTTGGACTTCACAGTTATACTTATATCAAACCTAGATACATTACTTTTGATGAACAGTAACTTTCAATGGATATTCTCCCCATGTTACCTGTGGTTTAAACAGTGATGTTGAACATAAAAAAATATCAATTTACTTAATCATTATCAAAATAAAGCCCATTCAGGTGATTTGTTTGTAAACATACTTCGTAATTTTTAAAAAATCAAATGCAAAGGAGTAAATAGAACACTTACCTGGTATGTGCTGTTATATATATCAATACCTCTGCTTAGCTGTATATATATCACTGCTGCTGCATGGTATTGTTAGGTCTTTCAAGACATTTTTTTGTTGACAGGTAAAATCAGACATGAAATTTGTTGTAATATAGGAGGTCTTGTTTGTTACAGGTGTGTGCTTGTACAGTGGTAGGCTGTGGTGAGAAATCAGATGTGATTGTTGCCAAACAGGATGGTAGGTCATGATTCCAAACATCAGTACAAGTATGTAGGGCATGATTCCAAACATCAGTATATGTATGTAGGTCATGATTTCCATACATCAATATATGTATGTAGGTCATGATTTCCATACATCAATATATGTATGTAGGTCATGATTCCAAACATCAATATATGTATGTAGGTCATGATTTCCATACATCAATATATGTATGTAGGTCATGATTTCCATACATCAATATATGTATGTAGGTCATGATTCCAAACATCAATATATGTATGTAGGTCATGATTTCCATACATAAATATATGTATGTAGGTCATGATTTCCATACATCAATATATGTATGTAGGTCATGATTCCAAACATCAATATATGTATGTAGGTCATGATTTCCATACATCAATATATGTATGTAGGTCATGATTCCAAACATCAATATATGTATGTAGGTCATGATTTCCATACATCAATATATGTATGTAGGTCATGATTTCCATACATCAATATATGTATGTAGGTCATGATTTCAAAACATCAATATATGTATGTAGGTCATGATTTCCATACATCAATATTAGTATATAAGTCATGATTTCAAAACATCAATATATGTATGTAGGTCATGATTGCCAAACAGTAGTTCATGTATATTTATGTATGTAGATCAGGATTGCTTTAAATAAGTGCAGTTCACACAAAAAATTGATGTAAATGTTGAAATATTTTGGTGCTAATTCCAATTTACTAGATAACATTCTAAATCAAATATTCCTCATGTTTATGTAGTTGTACGACCTGTTCCTAAACTACTGGTAGCCACTGCTATGTCAATCAAGATGGCAGAGATCGACAGTTCTGTTTATCTCACTGTTGCTATGGAAACCGGTGTGCCATCTGTAGCTGTTACATATCAGGCCCAGGAGGACAGAAAGTTTTGGATTACTGAGGATGGCATGTTGATGGAATCTGTTAATAATGAGAAACAACTGGTGAGTCGATATTACCTACATAATGTCAAGTTCCAATTCTAATGGCTTTCTCAGAATTACTTTTTACACAGAGTACAAGTTTATATTTAATTCTTGCATTCAGGTTTAAAGTATATGCTCATTTAATATCTTGAAAACAATATTATTTACTTTGAATATTTAGGTAGAACACACTCTTGCATACTCATGTTTGTAATTAAAGCACTTTTTTCTTGACTAAGATTTGTGAATTTGGTGGCTGTGTGGACTTATTTGACTGTGTTTGGTTTCTGTAGCTGATGAAGCTAAATAATTCTGGACTGGACCTGTCACTGGACTGGATCAGTCGGACTCTGTATATTGTTGAGGTTGACCACACCAGAAACACCAGCTCTCTAGGGGCCTACAAGCTGGATCAAGGTCAATATGTTAGCCTTCAGGACCGGCCTCAAGCCATCGGGGCCATTGTAGCTGACCCATACACCAGGTCAGTCTCAGAGTCATATTTGAAAAGCTTTATAGGTGCATATAAGAAACAAAACTTGTGTGTGAATGAAAATGTGACTTTTAGTATTGTAAATATTGAGGAAGTTTATTTGGATGTATATTTCAGCAATGTGATCTGGACAGAGGAGGGTTTGAACAAAAACCAGTACACTGTCTACAAAATGAATGCCAACTATGACATTGCAGCTGTATTTACAACAATGCGTAGACGGTTGCGACGAGAAGTTACCTCCCTTCCTTGTACATGCCCCATGACAGTAACAACAAGCAGTGCTCTGGCTGTGGACCATTCAAGTAACAACAAAATGGAGATGATTCTTTATCATTTGAGTGCCAAGGCTCTTATAGCAGCTGATATAGATGGTTGTCACTGCAGGACAATCCTTCCTGGAAGTAGTGTTTCAGGTGGGAAACAGGAGCCATTCAAATGTTTGTCATCACAAAACTATGTATCTAATTATCTAATTCGGCCATTTCATTGTCATTTCAGATCTGTGTCACATATATTCTATGATCCAATTCAGTCATGTGTTTGTCATCCTAAATCTGTGTCACATGTATTTAATGAGCCAATTCAGACATGTTTGCTGTTTTAAATCTGTGCCAAACAGTGAGCTTTTAATAGTGTTTAAATTTCTATTTCACAAAGGTGTTTGTGATCTAACATAGTCCAAAATTTGTGTGTAAATGTGGTATAAAGTGTACATTTCAGTTTGATATTTGTCTTAAATCTTTGTTGAAAGTAGTATATATTTCCGCAGACTCTGCCCCTGACCTACTCTCAGTCGACCACTTAAACATCTACTGGTACAATAAGGCAGCTGGTCAACTATATGCTATTGACAAATCCAGCAATGTTGTGACTCCTTATGCCCTACCAGGAGTGAATGATCTCTTAGCCTACGGACCACAGCTTCAGCCACGACCAGGTAGGTTGTAGTAAGTTACTCCTGTCTGTCTATTCCATAAGGTTCTGTACTTGGTCTGGTTTGCTATTTCGGTATCATGTTCTCACAAATGTGATGAAGTGACATCCCAGAGTGCTTTGTATTGTGACAGGTCTGGGATGTTTGGATCCAGGACCATATAATGGTAGTATTGTGATGGTACGCCACAGCAATTCCTCTCTCACGATCCTCCTTGAGGAGGTGGGTTGGCCAGCTGAGTGCGAAACAATTTCCCACCCAAACACCAGGTACACTGTCTTCTTCAAGCAAGGATCACATGGGGATCGATGTGGTGTGGATGGTCATGACTGCAGATCACAGGTAATATATGCTAGAGAAAAAAACTGTGTGCTGCTTTTTAATGAATATTTGTACTAAATACAAATTATTGATAGCTTTCATATCATAAAAGGTATTATTCAACACTAAATAGTCTTCAAAATATTGGTTAACTTTGTTAGAGGGATTTTACTTAAAATCACCAATTTCAAATATGTATTGGGAAAACAGGAAACTAGAAACATACCTGTTCTATAAGAATGCATAAATGATTTGGGATGGATTGGGCAATAGGATTGATAAATCATCATTATTGTAGAATGTATGCTGTTTGGAAGATAAAGCAAGCAAATTTATTTTTTTGGTTTATCAGACATCGTACAATCGCCAGATGACAGTATCAGGGCTAGATCCATACATGGAGTATGTGGTTCATGGAGCTGTGAGTAACTACTACACAGAAAAGCTGGATAAGGTTCTTGGTGACCCACATGTCTTCCGCACCAAGGTGGGAGGTAAGTCACCAAGTCTTTCCTAATCATACGGATATCTGTGTGTTTTACACTATGCATGTAGAGCTGTACTGTATGGGTCTCCTGATCTTATCTTACATTGAGTAACTTGATCTCTTTGGAAAGTTCTTAAAGATTATTGAAAATTTAGATTTGCTTAATATCCTAACAACTTTGTTAATTTCAGTGCCTTCCCCTGCAACTTCTGTCATCCTTAAAGTGTTGACCTTTGATAAGATGACAGTACAATGGTCACCCCCACTTCACAGCAATGGCCCCCTAGAGGAAATCACCTACAAGGTCAAATGGACAGTAGTTACCAAGGGTCAAACCCAAGAAATGGAAATGACCCCAGTGATAGATCTAATTACCAGTATAACTAGAGTCCCTATCCACAGTGTCACCCTTCAAAACCTGTTGCCTAACCATCAATACAAGGTCAAGGTCAGTATAATCAAGATCAAACATGATAATAATGTCAAGGTCAGTATTACAAATCATATAAAGTAACAAAGTGAATATCAGTAGATAAGGTCAAAGATAACAATGTCAAGGTCACTCATCAAGATCAAACATAACAAAAAGGTCAAGATCAATAGACAAGGTCACTCATGATAACAAGGTCTGTTTTAAAGTTCAAACCCAATAAAAAGATGAGTAGAAAAATTAACATAATAGTGTCAAGTGAATAGAAAATGGCAAGAGCTCAGTTATAATGTTGAAGTAAGTACCAGGAACAACCAGACAAAAACAAAATCAAAGCAAACAATTAATAACAAACAAGCAAAGACGAAGGATTGGAAATGTTGGAGTATCCATCAATGTGGTGTGAATCCTTCTCAACAGTATAAATTTTACTTTTACCTGCAGATCTTGGCTTCTAACAAGGAGCGACTGGTGTTTAGTGAAACAGCTGAGCTGAAGGCTAAGACTTTCGAGGGTCTCAATGACATCAAGCTGTTGGGCAAATCAGAAGACACCCTCAATGTTTCATGGGACTTTCCAACTGATGGAAGTGTGTATGCTGTTGCCTTCATCTACTATCCGGTAATACTTTAGTCAGCTTAAAAATGTCATTGTCAGTCCCCCATATGGGAAATACCATTTATGAGATTTTTGTGTGTAAAGATAGAAGATGGCTTGATAAAGTTAAAAACAAAGAAAAGTTAGGCATAATTGGTGAAGAGGTTTTTGTTAATAATGATGATTATTTCTTACAGATAGAGGAGAAGGAGGGGTCATTGGTGAAGTTTAGTCAGACCGAGATTCCCCAGAAAAAAACTAAAAACAACACATATTATAGCTACAGTATTACACACCTCCAGCCATACACCAAGTACAGTATCAGACTCAGACTCGTCTGGATGAGTGTTATGCGGATGGACTGGCCCGATGATGATGAATTTGTTTATAGGACTAATGGTAATTCATGCAGTACCAATATCTTATGGAAAAATTCAGACATACTGAATAAAGTTAGTAATTCTGTGAAATTAATGATCACATTTCAAATGACAGACTGTGTTTTATAGAATGCTATTCCTATAAATACATGTTTTGGTCCTGATACTGCCAACAGGATTCCTCCTGGAATGTCATACTGTTATATGTACATAAAAAAATACTTTTGTTTTCAAGCCTCTATTCCACAAGAGCCTCTCCCCCCCGAGATACAAAAACTGAAATCACAGGTGTATGTTGTGCTATGGCAAGAGCCACAGGTGAATGGTGAAAGTATATCTCACTACATCCTCCAGTACAGACAAACAGACACTGATACATGGGAACAGGCTTACAATGGCACAGAGCTACGCTGGGTGGTAGACAAGGACATCACACCTCCTGGGCATGACTATGTCTTCAGGGTCAAGGCCACAAATGAAATCGGTTGGGGACCTCCCAGTAATTCCAGTCTGACCTTCTCCTACATAGGTATGTCTTCTGTATATTCACTGTCATCAGGTACAGTTGTCATATGTTGGAGTAAAACAGTATGTAATAACATATCAGTTTCTACCAGGTAGTACTTTTCTAAATGCAGGATGAAATGTTCTTGCTGATCGTTACTAATACCTCACATGATACATCTAAACATTTAAAACTAATATTGCAGAGGCCCTTGTGTGGACAGACAACTCAATCATCTTAGCTGTTGGTCTACCAGTTGGCATCGTCCTCATCATCATTGTCATCCTGGTGGCTTACTGCTATGGTAAGTATTTGTTGGTATGTTAAACCAGCTGCAGTCGCTCCTATAGGTCTGACTGTCATAACTTACATGACACCTAATAATTTACAATGTTCATAGCTAGACCTTCCTGGTTATATTTTTAGTCTCAGACATGCTGCAATCAGAGAACAGAATTAAATAAATGCAGAAAAAACAACAATTACAGCAATGACAATTGTGATTGCATTATGGAGATATATGTCACCATTTCCCAGAGTAATCTGCTCTATTACTGAATGCTGAATTATACATAATATGTTATGTATTGCATGTCTACAGTGAGATGGAAGAGACAGGATCTCCAGAAGAAGCGACCACAGTTTGTGGCAGTGGCTCGTGGCCCTGACGTAGAACTGGCCACTTTAAGGGAACTGCCACACACTGCTTACCAACAGAGTAACACTTTGTATGCCATCAGGTTTGTATGTGTGGACACCCAAGTAATGTTCAAACAAGGGTAGATAAAACCTACAAATACAATGTACTAGATGTACCATTTATACAGGGGAAGATAACTCATACAGAAGATACAGAAAATAGATGTACTATTCATACAGGAGAATATATAACTCATACATGTTATAGATGCACTATTCATACGGGGGAAGATAACCCATACAGATTATAGATGTACCATTCATACAGGGGAAGATAACCCATACAGATTATAGATGTACCATTCATACAGGGGAAGATAACCCATACAGATTATAGATGTAGCATTCATACAGGGGAAGAAACTCATACAGATTAATGATGTTACATTCATACACAGGAAGATCATATCTGAAGAGAAACTAGATGTAATATTTTGACAAAGGGGGATAAAACATACACCATCCATACAGTGGAATGTTACTCATAGATTATATACAGATTATACACAGGGAAGATTACAGATTTAGATGTACCAGTCATGCAGGTTAGGAAAACCTCTATAAAAACTAGAGACGATTTTCAGACAAAGAAATATTCCAATTGCATTCCGGATGTAATGTTCAGACATGGGAAGATTATGTATAGATACGGAGGTAATGTAAAGACTGCGGGAGATTCATGATGTAATGATTAGACAGAATTTTGTTCTATAAATTCTACAAGTAATGTTCAGTGAGATGGGGACAATATAAAGTTCAGACAAGGGGAGATAATCTATGATTTCTAGATGTAAGGTTCACACAGGATGAGATATTCTATAGATTCTACGAGTAATTTTCAGTACGAGGGGGATAATCTATAGATTCTCCATGTAATGTCTACACAGAGGTTGATAATCCATTCAGAATTTTGTTAAATAGTTTTAGATTTGTTGTATTTGTACTTGTAGTTTAATTCCTACCGACAGTGATATTGCTTCCTTGCCCCACTTCCGAAGGGATCAGTTGATGCTTACAAAGTTCCTTGGCAGTGGAGCATTTGGAGAAGTCTTTGAAGGTCTAGCCAAAAATATCCTGAGTGACACATCTGGTGAAACAAAAGTGGCAGTCAAGGTGAGTCAAGGTCATTCATAGAGGAATGAAAATGGACTCCTATTCAAAGTCATCAAAATGGAGGTGTTTTAGGCAGAGGATATTTTGGTTTATTTATCTTTTTCTCTGTAAACAAGATTAAATATCTATGTATGGAATTTAACCAAGGGCATCCTTAGAATCTTGTGTAATGTTGTGATTATTCCATATATTTGAAGATTGTAAGCATTAATTCACAATTAAAAATAGGTTATTGATGTATCCTTCATTTTATTTAGCTGACACATTAATTTCTATAATTTGTCGCTGAAGATGGATTATTATCAAGATAAAATTCTTTTTACTCCAACTTTTAGTTAGTTTACTAAATAGCTATAGCTGTCAGACCAACAGCTCTGATTATCATAACATACTCATTTATAAAATTGTTCATCTAAGCTCCATTTGTTTCTAGCCAAAATCACAGAGCTCAAATATCTATTATTTTTGAAATTCAATTGAAAAAAATGTTATTGTACATGTAAATTTGGAGTAAATAGACCTTTACATTAGAAGTCAATCGACCTATACATTAATTGACCTTTGGTTAAGTTCAAGGTCACCCTTGCAAAGAAGCATGAAAGGATGTGATATATACCATAAAAAGTATTCTTTCTGACATATAACACATTTTATTGAAGTGGTATGTGTTGTGTTTTGCTGATAATATGAGATAACTAAAATGTGGCATTTTTACAGACCTTGAGGAAGAGTGCCTCTGATCATGAGAAGGAAGAGTTTCTGAAGGAGGCAGTCCTCATGAGTAATTTTAAACACGAGCACATTCTCAGTCTGTTGGGCGTCTGTCTGGACAATGACCCAGAATTCATTATCTTGGAACTGATGGAGGGTGGGGATCTCCTGTCCTTTCTCCGTGCTTGTCGACCATCCACGGTAAGGCCTTGGTGACTTATCGGTATGATTTGTACTTCAGGTCATTATAAGGATTACCAACCCTATAATATTTAGATACATGATGATATGGGACTTTCTGTTTATTGCAGACAAATGCTGCATTCCTGTGTATTACAGACCTGGTGAAAATATGTGTTCATGTGGCACGTGGATGTAAATACTTGGAGGAGATGCACTTTGTTCATAGGTAATTCATTTTTGTTTTCCACATAAGTACATTTTATAGTACAATTCATGAAACTCCTATATTCTTTAGATCTAACTTGACAGCCTCACTGTGAAATTTTGTGAGTGTGACAAGCAAACTTTATATGATATTGACAGAGATCTGGCAGCCAGGAATTGCCTTGTATCCAGCAAGACACCAGCGGACATGGTAGTGAAGATTGGTGACTTTGGCCTGGCCAGAGATATATACAAGAATGACTACTACAGAAAGGAAGGGGAGGGACTACTTCCTGTACGATGGATGTCACCAGAGGCACTGGTTGATGGAGTATTCACTACACAGTCAGACATCTGGTAAGTTACCTCCCATGTCTCTTGGCTGTTTGGAAAAATAACTGCCTTTACTGGGATTGTTGTGGTAGTGTTTGAAGGGAAGTAAGCACTATACAAAGACACGTTTGAGATGAAGTAAATTTGATCCCTTTTACAGGGCATTTGGCATTCTGATTTGGGAGGTTATGACTTTTGGACGACAGCCATATCCTGCCAGAACCAACATCGAGGTCCTACATTATGTACGATCAGGCGGTCAGTTAGAACAGCCAGAAGGCTGTCCTGAGGAACTGTAAGTATTCATGTTTTCTTTTACCCTAAAATACATAAAAAAACATGGTTCTTCTATAACATAGAACTTAAGCTAACCTATGATTGTATCCTATTAACAAACATTTAACTGCAAAGTTTCCCCTTTATACCATAATATACCAGACTTTTATTGACAGATTTCAAAATTTATCCAGATTTTCCTGGTCCTGAACATTGAAACACTTCCAACTTTCTCTAAATCAACCATTTTTGTGTGTGTTGATATGTCAGTTTGTAGAAAACTACATTTTTGGGGTTTTTTGTATTTCTTTAGCTTCCAGATGATGAGAAGTTGTTGGGTAGAGGCAGAAGACCGTCCCTCATTTTCAGTCATCCTCCAACAACTTGAAGAATTCCATGACAAGTGTGTGTCACTTTTCGCTGACTACATTGTCCCTATACGATCCCGCACAATCAACCCAGATGGTAAGCTCTGTTACATTATGTTGACCTTTGTATCATTATAGGTGTTTTCCTTCACATTCCATGACAGAAACTATCATTAGTCATATATCTGATAATTAATTCATATAGGTATAATTGGAATGGTGCTGTTACAACAGATCCTAACATTTGCTATAGTTATGAAATGAAACAGCTGATTGATATTGCCTTGAAAACTGTTGGAGACGCAGATGTAGGTCGAAAGGTGTGTGAATAATATTAATGACTTTGTATGTTGAACACAGGGCTCCATGCCTCTTGTTTGTTCTCTCCCAGAGGGCAACTATATTTTAAACCAAAAAATATTTAAATATGCATGAAATATATTTTGACTGAATTTCATTGCATGCTGTGTAGTGTTGATACCAAGACCTATATATATCATGGATATTTCATATTGTCTAAGTCATTTTTGTAGAACCTAACATTCATCTGTAGTGCTATTAGTGTTGTACATATATAAAATGAATTTATCTTTGTCTTTTTAAACAATTGTGTTTGAAAATGGTCACGGATGCTGTGTACTTGTGAATTAGAAACAATGTAATCATAACAAGAAAACAAATGCATGCTATTGTCAGTATACATATACAAGTCTGTGTGTTGACTAGAGTATTTGCTTTATAATAACATTATATCTAGTGATTTTAATGATGATCTGGCATAAAATGCTAGAAAAATTTTGTTTATATCAACTGAAATCTATGAAATAAAAAACAGGATTGTGTTTTCATCATTAAAAAAAAATAAAAAACAGGATGAGAAAACAGAAAGAATCCATGTCTTTTTGTGATTTGATATACAATAATATCTCCATTATATATAATATACAAATATAACAAGTCAATAAGTCATTAATTAGTTACAGTCAAGGGAGGTAAGTCAAGGGAGATAATCCATAAAATAGGATGCAATATCGTATTCATGATGAGATAAAGACATTCTACTCAATGAGTTTGCTTTCAAAATATATACAATCAACTTTAAAGAGAGTTTACTCATGTGGGTTTGGTTCAAATAATAAGCGTAGTTGTACATGTTACATAATTTTTGTTTTGATATATATGCATTGTGGATTGTAGTTTATAATGGGTTTTTTTTTATTTGCATGAAGGGCCATATGGACATATATATTACCAGGCCCTGACCAGGTGATGATGGCTTTTGTGTGGTATAATGAATTCAGTAGCTGTCATATTTGACTAATTACAATCATACCATAAAATAGTATGTCAATTGAAATTTTATAGATTTATAAAGAATACATATCTTAGTGAAGAAAGATGACTTTGATTGTCTTACCTTGATATAGAAATAAAAATACTTTGAAAGTATATATTGGTTATGATAACAGCTTCTACAGATTGATAAGTATAACACTATAATGATTGTTTAGTCAGATAAGACATGCATTGTCTTTAAGTGTTGCTTGTTTTTGTATGATTGCATCACCTGTCTGTATGATCACATCACTTGTCTGTATGATTACATCACCTGTCTGTATGATTGCATCAACTGTCTGTATGATTACATCAACTGCCTGTATGATTACATCACCTGTCTGTATGATTACATCACTTGTCTGTATGATTACATCACCTTTCTGTATGATTACATCACTTGTCTGTATGATTACATCACCTGCCTGTAGGATTACATCACTTGTCTGTATGATCACATCACTTGTCTGTATGATTAAATCACCTGCCTGTAGGATTACATCACCTGTCTGTATGATCACATCACTTGTCTGTATGATTGCATCACCTGTCTGTATGATCACATCACTTGTCTGTATGATTACATCACCTGTCTGTATGATTACATCACCTGTCTGTATGATTACATCACCTTTCTGTATGATTACATCACTTGTCTGTATGATTACATCACCTGCCTGTAGGATTACATCACTTGTCTGTATGATCACATCACTTGTCTGTATGATTACATCACCTGCCTGTAGGATTACATCACTTGTCTGTATGATTGCATCACCTGCCTGTAGGATTACATCACCTTTCTGTATGATTACATCACCTGCCTGTAGGATTACATCACTTGTCTGTATGATCACATCACTTGTCTGTAGGATTACATCACCTTTCTGTATGATTACATCACTTGTCTGTATGATTACATCACCTGCCTGTAGGATTACATCACTTGTCTGTATGATTACATCACCTGCCTGTAGGATTACATCACTTGTCTGTATGATTACATCACCTTTCTGTACGATTACATCACCTGTCTGTATGATTACATCACCTTTCTGTATGATTACATCACCTTTCTGTATGATTACATCACCTTTCTGTATGATTACATCACCTTTCTGTATGATTACATCACCTGCCTGTAGGATTACATCACCTGTCTGTATGATTACATCACCTTTCTGTATGATTACATCACCTGTCTGTATGATTACATCACCTTTCTGTATGATTACATCACCTTTCTGTATGATTACATCACCTTTCTGTATGATTACATCACCTGTCTGTATGATTACATCACTTGTCTGTATGATTACATCACCTGTCTGTATGATGACATCACCTGTCTGTATGATTACATCACCTGTCTGTATGATTACATCACTTGTCTGTATGATTACATTACCTGTGTCTACATTAATGTTTGGCCTTGTTATTTTGTATTGATATATTGAATTGGTATAATGCTGCATATTTCAACCCAATTTATTCTAATTTTGAAGCATACAAACACTAATGATATCTTGCTTTAGATTATTCAAAGCATTTATGTATCTCTCTCTGCTGAATTACATCAAATCAGTATAATCCCTTAAATCTACAAGTTGCCTTACACATGTGCATGCCTAGCTCTTGTAGCGAGTTTAAGCTTCAGATGTTGGTTTATTATCAATGATATTAATTATGTAACTATGTGATGATGATGTCTTCATATCGAAATATTTATCTTATTACAGGTTTATGTTACAATTCTTTCAGGACACATTTATAAATATATTTCTACCACAATAGGTTGGTGATACTTAACTATCAAGGCATCAAATAATCATTCCAACTGTTGTATATATCATATATGTTACACCGTATATATCATATATGTTACACCGTATATATCATATATGTTACACCATGTGTGGCTTCATGCACTCACAGAACTTAAAGGGCAGAATAAAACAGTTCTATACTGTTCTTGTTATCACACATATTTCTACCATATCATGGATGTGAAAATACTATAATTGTTCATTTCTTATTATAAATGGTAATGAGCGTTTCTAAAAATTTCTGAAATTGTTATTTTTGAATATTAATTAGCAGCATTTTACTCAGATCATATTATTGTGCTCCAACCAAAATTTGTAAACAAAGTCAATAGTTTCCATGTGAAAAGTGTTTGGTTTTTTTCCTGTGGTAGAACTGGTCAAAGCTCATGATTTTTTTTTTGTAAAGTTTTGAAAAATAAGTAACTTGGGTGAAATAAATACCATACACAACAACCACTGGTTGTGTGACATCTACATCTCCCACATAGAAATTATAAGGCAGGTTTTAGTGAGTGAAATAAACTGATACCAGGGATGTGCAGGAGAATACTTCAACCATTGGATGTCATAGCAACATTATCGGTATCACTTAATTAGCAGGATTTGATCTTAAATGTTGATGTTCACTTGTTTTAGGATAATCTGCATTCAAATGTGACTTTGTATTTCAAGTAATACTTATCAAATGTAAAGGTACAACACAGTATTGCTGCAGCTTTTACAAAGCAGTTGATTTTGATATTTTGAGAAGCGACGATATGTTTATTTAAAATCAGTCCCCACAGTAACCTTGACAGTAAAATACATCAGACTTAACAAAGAATTACTATCATATATAGCATATGTTATCCAACATGCCCCTACTATAGACATTAAAATAGTTTGATGAGCACTCAGTATAGATAGTAAAAAAACATACATAGAGTTTAATTTACAATGAAACAAGAAATCCCATTTGATAATTGCTACCTGTTCAAGGTGGCTTGATTACAAACATTATCAAATGTCTGACTTTGCAGACAACTTTGATTCCTACCTTTCTTGTCATGGATATCGACCTTAGAATCCGACATTTTCACTGTGAACATGTGAAACCCTTTTAATTCGATCAAGCACTACAATTTTTACTTTTAACATCAGTGAAGAAACTGAGATTATTTTGTGTTTTCCTGGTCAATTGACTTTGGTTAGTCTTTGAACAAACATTATCAAGATGGTGTAAAGTTAGTTTCTTTTTCTCCAAAAACACTTTTTAAATGTGTCGCCTTTGACCTGAAGGAGGAGGTAACAACAGCCAAGAGAAAACTCCTCGCAGAAATAGTTGGAGAAACCGTCAGGACGTTCATCCTTCGTCACTGAACAAAGTAGTCCGAGAGGATAGGTAACTGGTTCGCCCTACCTGTGGCTACATACCTTGTTTGTGATGCTGGACCTCATTTTCATGTCTAGTTTTTATTTTGCTCAGTGATTTTTTGTGGTTGTCCATTTTTTCATCTTTTTTAAAACATGTTGACTTACTTGGTTTGCCTTTGGTCACAGTTTTGCCTCCCATCTTGTGAGACTGATATTGACACATACTGAAAACTTGAGTTTATTTTTTGCTGTTAAACAGATGTGATTGTTGTATAGTGGTTGTTCCTATTGTTGTTAATTAAACTTCAAGATTTGAGTTGATTTAATTTTACTGATCCATCATTCATTGTTACCATGACAACAAACATTGACTTTTAATCCTGCATGTTTTTACTAGATATCACGTAACCATGTTTACAATTAAACCTGTCATGAACATCGCTCTAGTGGACACACTTGACCAGTGGTCCTTAGTCTTGTTGATCCCTCTGGACAATGTTTTGTCTTTAACATTGCATGCTTGTACAGACTGATTGATCACCAACAGCAGTGGTCACTCAGGAGTGCAGATCTTCTCTTGAGCTCAGCATGCTTCATCATGCTTATCTTCAGTGTCCAAATGGCTAATTTCCATGAGTGATATCGTGTTAGGTAACTGTAAACACATGCTAGTTTCATATCCAAAATTATTCTAAAAAATCAAAATTTGTTTATTTGTTGCTTCTTACGAAAATATTTTTATATGAAAAGTGTAATTATTTTACTTATACATGTATACATATATATATTGATTATTTTACACATAGATCTATTCAACAATCTCTGACAGGGCTTTATATTTGTTAATTACGACGAATACTGTGGTGGATAGACTATACATCAGCACTGACTGTATTAAGACAAAATGAGAATCCTTTTAATTCTACTGATGACAAGAAATAGCCATTTCTCTCATACTTATCTCATGTACAACTTATTTCATGTTATGTAGTGTAACTGTGATGTGAAGAAACCAACTAAGCATAATATTGACAGTGTGATGGCCATGATTTTAGTCAAAGTGTTGCTGAACCTATGATAAAATGGGAGATAAATACATTCTTCTTTGTTGGTATGAAATATAGAGATATTCAACCTGAAAGAGTGACAAAATTTGATAAAACCCAGAACCCTCAGGTAGAATATGCCTTGCTTTCATGCATACCTCTGAAAGAGTACTTAGCAATGTGTTTAGGCTATATGCTTGCCTTGTTATGACCTCTGCATCCATATTTGTATTCATCACAATAAATTTTATACATGTTTATTTGTATTTACTGTATAAACATAAATATTAAATCTTCATCATATTTCCTGTAGCCTTTAAAAAATTAACTATGAGTATACTGTCAGGGACATTGGATGTACTTTACAGATATGTGGTTTTTGTATTTTGTCAGATCTCTGGCTTGAAATAGCCATACACACTTGCTCGTTTTAATTGTAGACAATTATATATTGTAGTGGGTGGCTCAACCTGTCATCGTCAGCCAAGAGAGAGAAAAACGAGACGGAGGACCTTATCACATGGACATGACCCTAATTATAAGGTCAGTATAATGTCACATGACATTGGTTACCAGGTCAGTATAATGTCACATGACATTGTTTACAAGGTCAGTATAATGTCACATGACATTGTTTACAAGGTCAGTATAATGTCACATGACATTGGTTACCAGGTCAGTATAATGTCACATGACATTGTTTACAAGGTCAGTATAATGTCACATGACATTGTTTACAAGGTCAGTATAATGTCACATGACATTGTTTACAAGGTCAGTATAATGTCACATGACATTGGTTACCAGGTCAGTATAATGTCACATGACATTGTTTACAAGGTCAGTATAATGTCACATGACGTTGTTTACAAGGTCAGTATAATGTCACATGACATTGTTTACAAGTTCAGAGTATGATCAGGCCACGACCACTATTACAAGGTCAGCAAATATCATGTGACTCTGTTTTCAGGATGAACTCCTCATCAATTCTTACAGATGATTGGGTAATTATGTTTTTAATGCCAAGGTAATGGTCATAGCTAGGAAAGCTATCTATAAATCACTGTATCTGTCCATTTCCCTAAGTGATGGGGATGCAGTTTAGATATTTATAATCACAGTTTAAAGGATTGGTCATTCATCTTTGTTAAGAAATTTGTACTATCATATATATATATACACGATATGAATTGTAGGAGGGCATATTGCATATCTCATCCCCTTCCATTGCTCCCTAAATCAAAGTCTTCACTCCAGCAAGATTTAATTTAGAACAATACCTCATATGATTGAGTTCTTTAATAAACTCAAGGTTCCATACCTAAAGTCAAGGTCACAGTAACTATTTATAAGACATCATCAACCAATTTAGTGACAACACTCTAGTGACTTCTTAATTTGCACAAAAGTCAAATATTATGAGAATATATTGAATTAGGTTGAATTACAAAGCCACCATTATCCTTTATAGATATTTGTCAAACAATGATCCTTATACATGTGTATTCATGTCTTAAATGTTTTCTTGCTTGTCGTATCAGTGAATGTAAAATAGAATTACTAAGATAACAATGTTATCACAGTTGATGAAATGATTGCATTTGCAGGGAGACAATGAAGTGCTATATAAAAAGATTCAACATGCTACGTCCTTTGATATGCCCGAGCCTCGTGATGAGATGGACCTGGAACTGACCTATCGACAGATAGCAATGCAAAATGGTGCATGCACAGAGTATCTCATTCCCCATACACAGGGCACACCAAAATATCTCCAACTCATCCGTGACCCGGTAGACCGGCGCAAGTCCTCGCAGGGGTCCAGTCGCCACAGTTCCTGTTCTAGTGATATATATTCTCTAAACTCCAGTCTACAGGTGGCGCTGCCACCCCTGAAACAGTATGAATCAATCCATTCCATAGACTCTGACCCATGTCAAGAGGTCCCATACTCCCCAGTCAACAGCATTCCAGAAGGCTACGAATTTGTACCTTATCCTTCTCATCTCACCAGAAATAAAATGGCCAACTCTGATGGGTACGCTATCGTCAATGGGCCACCTCGCCTTGTGTCTAGTAGCAGTACAAACGACGGGAAGAGTGCTCCAAACGATCATTGTGTCCTGAACAGTTCCCTTTCTTCAGAATACAATACACAGGATGGCACAAGTGCTCTGAATAATCAGTGTGCCCCAACTAGTACTCCTACTGGATATACAACAGTAAATATCCCCACTAAGGGTGGTTGCCCAGTGGGAACAAGTAGTAGTGCAGAGGTGATTATCAGCTACCCACGCAGCTCGGTAGAACGTGGATACAGTAGTGCAGAGGCAAGGCTCTATTACACAGGGCCAGCCTCTGACTTAGCTAACAACCTGAAAAACAAACAGAAACCGATTTATCCCCACATCGCCCTCACAGACAGCAGGAACTATGTAGACTGTAACAGAAACAAGGCCTCGTATCTCAGCCTCGCTTCCAAGTCCGACTGTTCTCACCTTACACACAACTTTGACCCTGCTAAACTACAGGCTTATTGGGCTAGTAATAGTCGCCTCCCAGGGAATCAGGACTCCAAGGTCCCTGGGGGGCGGTCTCGGGGCCAGGTCTATCCTCTCAGTGAGGCCCTAGTGTCAGGATACTCAGATGTACAGGCCAGTCTGGTGTGACACAGGATATCTCAAGTATAACACACATAAAGGACTGTCTCTTAAGTTTATATATGACATCAGGAGTGTCATCTGTGTTTAAAGGACTAAAGATGTCTCAGAATTACACATGACTCATCAGAGATGAATCAAATGTTATCTAGAACATAATGGTATATGGGATATCTGAAAATACAATATAATTATGTTTTGGATGTCTCAAACTGATTTATTGGGCACTTTGTTGTCTTGAGCTCAAATGTGTGACTCTTAAAGAGTACTACAATGTTGTGTGTTGACAACTCGTAATAATGATGCTGTAAGCGTATATATTTGCCACACTTTTTTTTTCCATTGTTTTAACAAACCATATGATGCATAGGTGTAAATGTCATGAAAACTGCATAAAGAGAAAATGCATAATGATAATTATGTGAAATATTCCATGAAAAGTGCTTGAAGAATATATAATGTACAGATATTTACAATATATTACTGGAGATATGAGGTACACCTGTTTCTTGATGTCAAAAATACACTGCCATGATAATTATTTGACAGTACCTGGGATAGGTTGATCAGAACACACAGCCATGATAACAATTACACAGTACCTGGGATAGGTTGATCAGAACACACAGCCATGATAACAATTACACAGTACCTGGGATAGGTTGATCAGAACACACAGCCATGATAACAATTACACAGTACCTGGGATAGGTTGATCAGAACACACAGCCATGATAACAATTACACAGTACCTGGGATAGGTTGATCAGAACACACAGCCATGATAACAATTACACAGTACCTGGGATAGGTTGATCAGAACACACAGCCATGATAACAATTACACAGTACCTGGGATAGGTTGATCAGAACACACAGCCATGATAATAATTTCACAGTACCTGGGATAGGTTGATCAGAACACACAGCCACGATAATAATTTCTCAGTACCTGGGATAGGTTGATCAGAACACACAGCCATGATAATGAGTACACAGTACCTGGGATAGGTTGATCAGAACACAAAGCCACGATAATAATTTCACAGTACCTGGGATAGGTTGATCAGAACACACAGCCACGATAATAATTTCACAGTACCTGGGATAGGTTGATCAGAACACACAGCCATGATAATGATTACACAGTACCTGGGATAGGTTGATCAGAACACACAGCCATGATAATAATTTCACAGTACCTGGGATAGGTTGATCAGAACACACAGCCACGATAATAATTTCACAGTACCTGGGATAGGTTGATCAGAACACACAGCCATGATAACGATTACACAGTACCTGGGATAGGTTAACCATAGGCTTTTTGTGTGCTAATAGAAGTAGTTCATGTTGATTAGATGAAATGTTGCTGCTCATTTATTACTTTACACTGAGTGAGACCAGGCTGTAATATACAACTGTCAAAGAAATCAGCATTATTTTTACCAAGTATGTCATGTCAAAGGTAGTAATATTCAAGATTCCACATTATTGCCAAACAATGCACACCTCTTAAAACCAAAGATTTATGGTGTAATATGGTACATATATGTGTGTGTGTGTGTGTTAGTCTGATCCTGTGTTACAGTAACCAACCATTTACTTATATACTCACCTTAGATTTACACCCAACAATGTTGGGAAATAGATGAATTGGTCAGCCTGGGGTCAGCATGAGGTCATGCAGTGGTAGTATTAGTCCTTATCAAGCAAGCCAGACTCTGGTTGGAGTCTGAACAACATCGAAATTCTGGTCAGATGTAGTCTTGGAATTCATAAGATGACAAGACGTTTCCTAACGACGTTGGTCCCCACATCCTGTATATAAGATCTTATAGAGCAATATAGAACTGAGCTGAAGTCATTTTCAGATTCTACTAAACACCAAAAGCTGTCATTATCTGATATACATATATATATATATTTGTGAATATTGTACCATGTTATGACTTTTGTCTTGTTGATAGTGTTTATGATGTTGTTTATGATATCAAGTTTTAACAAAAGTCCCATATACATTTGTGTAATACATTGTTCTGCTCAGTAGAGTATAGCTATTGTTTTCTGTCCAAGGTGACCTCGACTTCCACGTTTGTTTATGATGAGAACCTGGTGACTTTCACTTGTTCATGTTCAAGATAACCTTGATCACTCTTTGCGTCTGAGGTAACCTTGACTTTCATGTTCATGTCCAGGTTAACTTTGATCACCAATTGTGTCCAAGGTGACCTTGACCTTCATATTCATGCCCAAGGTAACTTTGATCACTGTTTGTATCCAGGGTTACCTTGACCTTCATATTTCTGTCCAAGGTAACCATGAATACTGTCTGTTCAAGGTGACCTTGACCTTCATGTTCATGTCCAGGGTAACCTTGATCGATGTTTGTGTCAATGATGACCTTGACCTTAATGCTTAACATGTTCTGTACCCATTCCAGCTAACATTAACCTCATCACAGTAGAAAATAATTCTTATGTGATGTTAACAAAGCAGTTATCAGGTAAATAATCTTAACTTTGATGAATTGTGAAAGAAGTTCATTGTTAAAAAACAGACAGCCATTGCCCAAGGTGAAGTGATCATTGTTATATAAGGTGGTGGTTCATATTGATACCAGACATGGTTAACCTATTGCTTGGCAGTATATGATATGAAATCAAGAATTGTCATCAAAAGATAAAAGATTAATACACAAGATTTTAAAAAAAGTAGAGATGTTGATGCCATTTAAGATATGCTGTAATGGAATGGAAATGTGTACAATTTCTTTAGCACTAAGATACTGTATATGATTCATGATTATACCCCACTTATTATTTGTATTGTAAGGATTTTTTAAAATTCTTACACTGTACTATCCTTAAATAATGAAATATATATAAATCAATCAGCAATGTTTTATCCAAAGGCATTGTAAGTTAAGTTTTCTCAGCAACTCTGAGAACTTTTTAAGTTAAGGACCAGCATAATAAAAAATAGTATTTGGTTGTGGTTTAGTGTGTCCCATAACAGCATCACTTCACATTAATATTGAGATAAGATAATTAACTTAGGTATCAGAAGACTTACCCAAAAACACCCTGGACATTCAGTATCGAAATCAGCCTCTACTTGTATTGGTTTGTGTTTTTTAACCCACAAATCAGGCTTGTTCCCATTTTCTTATAAAAAAAACAGTCTGCCTATTAAAAGAAAATGTGTAGGAAAAGAGATCTGCTCAATGTGTAGAGAAAGTGTTGTACAAAAAAAACAGTGTATAGGGAAGGTTGAAAACCCATCATGTTGTAGAGAAAGTAGGAAAAAGGCAGTGTATAGGGAAGGTTGAAAACCCATCATGTTGTAGAGAAAGTAGGAAAAAAGCAGTGTATAGGGAAGGTTGAAAACCCATCATGTTGTAGAGAAAGTAGGAAAAAGGCAGTGTATAGGGAAGGTTGAAAACCCATCATGTTGTAGAGAAAGCAGGAAAAAAGCAGTGTATAGGGAAGGTTGAAAACCCATCATGTTGTAGAGAAAGCAGGAAAAAAGCAGTGTATAGGGAAGGTTGAAAACCCATCATGTTGCAGAGAAAGTAGGAAAAAGGCAGTGTATAGGGAAGGGTGAAAAACCCATCATGGTGTAGAGAAAGTAGGAAAAAGGCAGTGTATAGGGAAGGTTGAAAACCCACCATGGTGTAGAGAAAGTAGGAAAAAAGCAGTGTATAGGGAAGGTTGAAAACCCACCATGGTGTAGAGAAAGCAGGAAAAAAGCAGTGTATAGGGAAGGTTGAAAACCCACCATGGTGTAGAGAAAGTGGGCAATAACCAACTTGTAGAGAAAGCAGGAGCCAAGCAAGATGTGTAGGGAAGGTTGGAAGCTAGCTTGGAGTAGAAAAAGTGGAAACTAAGAATGTGTAGCAGAAAAAGGAAACCAAGTATTGTATAAAGAATGTGGGAACCAGGTATATATATGCTGTACAATATACTGCAATGTGTAGAAGAGCTAGGATAAGCATCTTGCACCAACACAGTGTGGTTCAGTCAGGTTAATGATCACATGCTACACAAGTATTAGTGAAGCGTTTATCACTTTATTTTGACCAAAATCATTTCTTATTGAAAATGCGAACTGCAACAAGGAGTTGTATAATATGTTTCTATATTTTTATAATTATCTGACTGTGGAAGCATTATTAGAATGTGTTACAGTGACTTGACAATCACCAAGTGTTACCAACCTTCATGTGTTCCAGTTGTATCAAAGCATGATAAAAAATTTCTTACATATTGTCCTGAATGACTTAGTTAAATTTCACGTTCCACAGTCACATGGCAATGTACAGGAAGGTTAACCTGCCCCTATAATTCTGCCATTAGGTGAAATGGTGAAAATATCAAAATAATAATTTGAGATAGCAATAAAATATCTTTATCTTGGAGAGCTTTAATATAACCTTGATTTAGAGGAGTCCTAGCGGCCCTTGTTTTACCAAAGTGTGTCCGGTATTGGCTGTTAGCAGGGTCCAAACCAGCAAATTTTGTACATTTGTTCACTTTGACCAAATTGTTTATGGTTATCATTTTTTCACCAAGTTTCATTTACACCCAATAGTATTTACTGGAAACAACTACATTTAATAGTGGCTTTATTTTAATATCATTAATATCATCAAAGATGAGAAATTTGTCAACTAATGAAGCAAAAAATCACTGTGTAAAGAAAATGACACTTGCATATCAAAATTTAAAAAGTTTTACAATTTTTTGTTCTAAATGAAGTATCTATAAAAGCCATACCCTAACTTCACTCAGTGGTTCAGTTTATTGTTATGATAAGACAATCAAGATTGCTTTACAAACTAGGAGAAATTCTTTGTAAACTGGAAACAAATTTGATGATCATCAAAATAGGTGTGTTGTGTAATTGCTGCGGCATTCCCAATGTAGTTATGAGATTTTATTTCAGAGGACTGGTTTTCACGGATCATCAGTATCTTGTCAGCTTATGTACAGATTTTGTTGTCAATGTTATGTTTTCATCTTTACCAATTTTAATCATGGGTCTTTATTGATTACAGATTATTTTATGATTAAATAAAAAAGATAATGTTACATTTTGAAAATGTTGTTATTATTTTATCAATCCCAAGACTTACGTAAGACAAATCACCTTGTACAAACCAATCCCGATTCTTAATGTTATAAAACAAATTACCTTTAAACACAACGCTAAACTTGAAAGATAAGTTTACAGTTAGAAAAGTTGATTACCTGAAGGACAAAGTGTCAGTTTAGGGTCACCTTAGATCCCAATAAATCATGGCCATATCAAAAATATCCAAGAACAAAAGGACAAAACATGCCTTGTATATCTTTATACAAAGACAGATCAACTTTTTAACCATGGAACAATCTACATATCACAGGTCAATGTCAAAAGCTCAGTTACCAAGGTGTTGCTACCAGATAAATAACAGGTTTAAGAGGTCATGTACAGTTCAGAGGTCATAAGCATAATCCCTGGGATATCATTGATATGAGAAAGGGCAAATATGAGATGTCAAGGATATTACTGCCATGACTGGTCAACTGCAAGATCCAAGGGACATTGCAGCCATGATGCTGTGGCCATAACAGAGGTCAAATACCAGATCACTATGACATAGATGCTGTGGCAGAGGTCAATTGCAATATTCTTTAGACAATGTGGCTATAACAGAGACAAGATCCAAAACCACAAGGATATTCTGATCACGATTGGGATCAACTGCATGATTGTGGTCAAGATGCTCTTTTTTCACATTATTTGAAATTTTATTTATGTGGAAAAAGATAATCAATGTAGCTTGGACCATGCTCATGTAATTTGTTATCGATTTTCAAAAATTAGTCCAGAGGACTTTTAAGTAGTAGAAATGACAATTTGTACGTGCTAGTTACTCTACACTTGATGCAATGTTTACTTGAAATCGAATGAGCATAAGAATAAAAACCCTGATCCTGCGCTGATCATCCCTAAATTTCAGATATATTATCTTAGTTGAATACAGGTTAAAATGAAGGAAAATTAGCAAATTACAGATGTGGACACAATACATGTAGCAATAGCTTGCATTATCTTATCATCACCTGCCTAAAGATAACTGCATTTAAATTGATAACATCCAATCATAAGTATCAAGGAAGCTTTAATTAGATCAATCACTTTCAAGCAAAAATCATCAAGAATCGTTTACTTTCATTGATCAAACTGCATCAAAGCAATGCAGAAAGCTACATCTATACTGATCAGTCCTATCAATTTTATCCAGAAAGCTCTGTACTTGCTGGATTCAAGTACAATCATGTTTTACTGGTGGACCAGTTTCATCGCTGTGGTCTTGTAAAGAACTATTTTATTAAAGGACCCGATTCATTCCTGTGGTCTTGTACAGTAAAAGAACCTGACTGTTTTAGCAATATCCAATTTGTAAAAATGCCAGCACTAGTTTTGTTAGAAAATAGGGTTTCTAAATTTATTACATATAGGCTTCTTTTCTTGTAGCTTCACTAGAAATAGTACTCATTATATTACAAGTTTTTTCATATTTATTTTCATAAAATATGTTGAATTAAATCAATACATGTACAAAATTGATAACAAGGTACAATAATTTGAGTTTAAATCATTAAAAAAAACAAAGATTATTTACATGCACATAATTGTTTTATGAACAATTTTACTTGTAATACCCATAACAAAAGAAAAACAAGAGATCCCAGAAGGACCCACCATTGTTTGCTCTTAATTTGCTCTTTGATAGTATGATCATTTCCCTTCTTTTCTCTTCTCTTCTCTGTTTTTACTCTTAATGATAAATAATTTGAACATTCCTTTGCACAAAAAGCAATGATAATCTTTACCTGCCAAAGCCAAAAAGGTCGCCTGGAAGCCATTTTGTTTCTTCTGATCAGTCCCAAAATATAACAGGTATAAGAAGAGACCAAAGGGAACATATGTACAAAATTTGAGAGAGATCCATTCAGTACTTCTGAAGAAATAGGGATAACAATCTTTACTTGAATCCAAGGTGGCTGCCTGTCAGCCATTTTATTTTTCTGATCAGTACCAAACTCGAACAGTCACAACAAGGAACCAAGAGGAGCATGAAAGTTTAGAGAGATCCATCAAATACTTCTTTAGAGATGGTGATAACAAACTTTCAAAGTCAAAATCTAAGATGGCCACCTGTTGGCCATTTTGTTGTTCTGATCAGTCCCAAAATTTGATGGCCACAACTAGATGCCAAAGGAAACCTACATATAAAATTTGAGAAAGAACTAGCCAGTGCTTCTCAAGAAATAGTGCTAACAAAAATTGTTGTATCTAATGATGAGTAAAAATAACATTTCCTGATATCAGTGGTGCATCTTCCTGTAGTAATTTTCATTATGCTGAAAATAGAATTTGACAGATTTGACTAAAATCCAAAATTTTAAAAAAAGGCAAACAAACAAAAACAAAACATTTACCGTAACACATATTACAAGATGTGAAATTGCACAATATGAATAGAAGAAAATAGGGAAATTGTCCTACTTTGTTTGCTTCTTTGTTTACACTATCTCTTAAGAAGTGCTGGATGGATCTCTCTCAAATTATCTTACTTTATTAAAAGAGGCTGAACTCACCTCAGTCATAATATATATGTACATGCACAGAACAAGACCTGAACTGTACTGTTATTATAGAAGATTTCCTACAGTGTCATCAACGTTCTAGTTACCATCCCATTATATACTATGATACACTGTAAAATATCGCTATCAATTATCAATTTTTAGTGAGTCATGACAAAAAAGAAATGTTATTTTAAACCAGTATCAATACCAGTAGGTTACAATAAAGCTTGTTATTTTATTTTGTCCTTAAGTCTACCATGTACTGAGAGGAATTTAATGATAAATATTTTTATAAGATTTTGAACAAAAATTACAGAGATACATACAAGTTAAATCAAATTTTACTTAATTACAAATCTTCAATATGGATTTTAATTTTGTATGTAACCTCTCAATATTTTGGAATGAAATTACCACTGTAGCAAGAGATTGAAAAAGGACTAAAGGAAACAAATTTTTCAACATATTAAAAATATTGTACCAACTGTGTCACTGTCATCACAATATGTGTTGTTAATATATATACATACAATCATGTGAGGAATATCCTGCTGCTGTAAGTACACAGATGCGATCATACATAACATTGGGTTACTTCCTAATGTAATCCTGATCTAATTTGTTTACAATAAGGAGTTACTTCCCCTTATGTCTTTCTTTAACAAAATTATATATATATATATATATATATGTCTGTTTGTTTGTTTGTTTACCACAGATTGTCACCTGAAGGAGAGGATTTAAATAGGCAATGCCTGGTGTCCAATTCCTTTTGACATTTGTCAATAAAATTTGTTGAAATTGAAATTGAAATGACTAGTCAAATAAGTGTAAGGAGATACATCACAATGTCGGCATTTCAACAAAGACATGCAATAAACGCACCCCGAAAATAATCACTGGTACATAACTTACAAACTGCTTGAACCAGTAATATGTGTTCAAAATGAAAGAAAAAATGTTAACCCTGATAAAATTCCATGAAATGTTTGCCACTAGCACAAACCCATTGCACATAACTTATCCAAGCTATTCAATCTTTTTCAAATAATTGTAAAAAAGCCCTAATCTCTAATATTCACATAACTCTTCCACAAGTCCTCAGGCCAGTCCAAAACTCTGAGTTACATAACTCTTCCACAAGTCCTCAGGCCAGTCCAAATCTCTGAGTCACATAACTCTTCCACAAGTCCTCAGGCCAGTCCAAATCTCTGAGTCACATAACTCTTCCACAAGTCCTCAGGCCAGTCCAAATCTCTGAGTCACATAACTCTTCCACAAGTCCTCAGGCCAGTCCAAATCTCTGAGTCACATAACTCTTCCACAAGTCCTCAGGCCAGTCCAAATCTCTGAGTCACATAACTCTTTCACAAGTCCTCAGGCCAGTCCAAATGTCTGAGTCACATAACTCTTCCACAAGTCCTCAGGCCAGTCCAAATGTCTGAGTCACATAACTCTTCCACAAGTCCTCAGGCCAGTCCAAATGTCTGAGTCACATAACTCTTCCACAAGTCCTCAGGCCAGTCCAAATCTCTGAGTCACATAACTCTTCCACAAGTCCTCAGGCCAGTCCAAATCTCTGAGTCACATAACTCTTTCACAAGTCCTCAGGCCAGTCCAAATCTCTGAGTCACATAACTCTTCCACAAGTCCTCAGGCCAGTCCAAATCTCTGAGTCACATAACTCTTCCACAAGTCCTCAGGCCAGTCCAAATCTCTGAGTCACATAACTCTTCCACAAGTCCTCAGGCCAGTCCAAATCTCTGAGTCACATAACTCTTCCACAAGTCCTCAGGCCAGTCCAAATCTCTGAGTCACATAACTCTTCCACAAGTCCTCAGGCCAGTCCAAATCTCTGAGTCACATAACTCTTCCACAAGTCCTCAGGCCAGTCCAAATCTCTGAGTCACATAACTCTTCCACAAGTCCTCAGGCCAGTCCAAATCTCTGAGTCACATAACTCTTCCACAAGTCCTCAGGCCAGTCCAAATCTCTGAGTCACATAACTCTTCCACAAGTCCTCAGGCCAGTCCAAATCTCTGAGTCACATAACTCTTCCACAAGTCCTCAGGCCAGTCCAAAACTCTGAGTCACATAACTCTTCCACAAGTCCTCAGGCCAGTCCAAATCTCTGAGTCACATAACTCTTCCACAAGTCCTCATGTCAGTCCAAATGTCTAACTCAGTCAAAGAACTACAACTCAACATAATAGTTCCATATCTAGCACATGTGAGCACTCAAGACTTGTCAAACATGGACTAATGGGAAATCTATTAATACACACAAAGTTACATTTTGTCCAGTATCCACCACATTAAGTTTCTTTGTGTTTAGAGTTCCTCATTTGAATGTAAAGTCACTGTAAAAGTGACATTAACTTTACTAAAGATACAAAAACTTGGCCCAACACTTGGCATAACCAGACACTAATATTATGGATCAGCTTTCTTTCAACTACATTGTACAATCTATCTCTTAACAGAGTCAATTAAACGCAGGACTCAACATGTTTTACATGGCACGAAGTATATGTGGTTACTGACCTGGAGCAGATTATAGGTGTGTTATCACAACAGAGGCACTTTGAAGGTGGACCATAATCAGCTATTTCACCAATTTACCTGATTATTCTGTTAAGGTGTAATCATGGTCTAGTATGACATTTCATCATCACCTCATTTTACAATTAGAAGACAGTTGCATACTAAGAGACAAATTAGTTAGGACTGTCAGCAGTAACATCAACTATCCTACGACTGAGCAGTAAGTGTATTTCTAGGAACACATCTAAAACTGATGATATGTTGACAAAAGTGTATAATGTAATTAGTTAGTAGATATTTATCACTATAAGTCTTTGAGAGCTGCTAATTGTCGTTCTATATCTGCCTCTGCATTAGAACTGGATGCCTCTCCAATCTTTCCTCTATGTATCGGGGCATCAGCAAGCTGTTAAAAAAAAAAAATCAATGTTTATGTTTATTTTGTATGTGAAATTTAATTACTGTAATTATATAAACATGTATAAAATGATAAAATTATGAGTTATAAATAATTAAAATCCATTCCTTGAAGCAAATAAAATAGACACTGGGAATAATAACTTTAATCCAATGATCACCCTAAAAGAGTGAGACATTTCCTACAGACTAAAGTCACACAGGATAATTTGTTTTCAAGAAATTTATGAATTCAGAAATCCTGCAAACCAATTTATTTTTAAGAAAACACTAGCAGAGGTAAAGTATCCTGATGTTTACCCATATGATCTTAAAATAGACCTTTACCTTGCCGGACATATCAATGCCAATCTCGTCTAACACCTGAGTTACAATGGCGTCAGATTCCTCCTCATCCCCGGACTCGCCCAGAATGTCATCCAAGGTGTCGTTTACTACAAAAACACATTGGTAATGAGATGCAACAGGATTGTTGTTTTAAATGTTTTAAAGAAAATAGAAGATACTTGTAAGGAGATGTACAAGCCCTGATACAGACTATTAGTGTTCCACTTCTGTCAAACTTCAGAATACAGAATGCAAGAAGAGCCATAATTCTGTATAACAATGAGTGGTTACTATGTACAACAACAGAATTACATGCACAAGTTAGTTTCAAGAGACTTAGTATACAAAATACAATGTATGTCTTTACACAATGTGACATATTGAAAAAGGTCATAAACGTGTATATTGTAAAGTATTGCAGATGACCCACTTTTGGCATCTTGTCAGTTTATATGTGATAAAAAGAATAGGAGACGTTGACCTAATCAATGTGATAACTACAAAGATATTAGGTATTAATTTTACATGTAATAGAAACAGATTGTTATAGAGGTCCTCAGTAAACTTACTCATCTCCTCTGACATCTCCATTTTCATTGACTCCTTTGTGAAATCTTGCATGGTTTTGGCTGTTTTTACTGGATCCATCACCTTATTCATCTGTTGCATTGTCTATAATATCCAAATATTTTGGTCAATGGTTACAAGGTAATCAAACAATTTCACTTCAACTTTCCAAGAAATATACAAATTTTTGTATGTGAAACATTTTTCTGAGTTTGAACTTAATTTTATTAGCATATTGGATACCTGAGAAAAACACTTAGTATTAATCAATGCCATTAGCTTAAGATTATACACTTACATATTGATTTATACAATATGACATATATAAATGTTTGTATCAGATATCAAGTTTTGCTGTAGTGCAATATAACAACAGAAGCAGCTAGCATACATCAGTGTCCTGAGATTGCAGTATGAAGTTTGATTATGTGAAGAATGATCAAAAGATTAAGAGTCGCCATCATGAAAAAATGTTATTACCTTTGTTGTTGTAGCCATGGCAGCACCCATCTTCATATTTGAATGCATCACCTGAAAGAAAGAAAATAATGGTTTGTAACAACTGTTGAACTTGTTTTCTACACAAAACAATGAAGTAATTTTTAATTCAAATCAGAAACTGACTTAGTTCGTCAGATGTTCATTGTTGATGTCACATTTAAATCATATCATATATTCTATAGTCAGAATAACTAGAGTAGTCAGTGACTAAATTATCCTTGGCTTATATCATACTGCTGGTTTTGATGTTATACATTTCAGGTGTTAAATTATGCATTTTTTTTTTTTTTTTTTGGTTATTTTTCAGACTTTTAGCTTTCCATTTTACTATCTGTGATTAAATATATAATCATAACATTCAAGCGGTCTCTTGTTTTAATCCACGCTATATTAGTGTATATTCTGGTTAATCTTACTCTTTGCCACATTGGCATATATGTACATTGGACACTTAGATATTTAGTGTTTATAATCATACTTTATATGCGACATGAGATCTTATGTATGCATGACTTTTAATACTTGATTTATTATAATGAATACTCATGTCTCTTTCATAATTCGGAAATTCTGTGATATCAATGTTATATTCTGTGATATCATTCAAACATTTTGTTATGTTCTATGTTTTAACTATGCTGTAAATACTGTATATTTTATATTTTCGACCACATGTGAGAAGAGTCTTTGACTCAATGTGTAATCTAATGAAAATAAAGTCTATCATTATTATTATTATTATCATTATTAATTTCTAAGACATTCAAACAATGAAGGTCATATTTTCAAGTTGTTTTTTTTTTCATTCACATAAATAAAATTTGTATCAAAAAACATACCTTTTGTTGTGTACCTATTGAATGTATTTTAGAGCCAACTGAATAACTCTTCGTCCGCTGTTTCCTCATATTTACTAGCTGTTTGGCAAGAACAGTGGCTGCCTGCTTATTACCTTGTTTAGCTGCTTTTTTTATTTCTAGTTCCTGTTTCAACATCACATGAAAAAGAAATCAAACAAATGACTTGCTTTTTTCATTACATGTACATTTCCTATGATGAATTTTAAGCTGAAATCATTTTTTTTTCTATTATAATCAATGGCAAGAAATTTTGAACTGACCATGATCAATCATTACATAATGAACTTTAGAGATAAAAAAGGTAAACCATGCTGATGTATATATCAACAACTAAAGAAAAAAAAACAGAAAAAAAAATCTTCAACATGACAAAGGAACATATACACACCAGCTTTTTTTCTTCTCGTTCTAGTTTATCTCTGTCTCTTCCCAAGTCTCTCTCTGTTTTACGAAGTTCTCTGTCATTTTTCCTAATTTGTTCTGTTAACAAACAAAAAATAACTTACTTGAAAACACTGTTGATATATATTTTGTACGTAAATTAGTTTAGTACTGAGTAACTTTCGTTTTCTCGTTGTACCATCGATGGAAAAGCAAGGTATCATTGGGTGTAGAACGAAACAAATGGGACAACCCAATTAGGTCTGATCTGAAGCCACCTGTGACTTGGACTCTTCCAATTAACCTCTCGCGACAGTCGAGTGTTTGTAAAATGCCGATGTCTGCACAGTATTTTTTCACCTGGCTCCACCCACAATCGATCTAGACTTGGCTCTGCCAATCAGAGAGCTTGTTGCATAAATTTAAGGAATTCGATTGGTGAAGTACTTCAGTACAATACTATCAATACTTTGTTCAGTACTACAGTACTTGAAACGTTCACACCTTCCCTTCATCGGTAGTAAGGGTGGCAAAATAGTTTCTGAATTCATGGAAAAAAAGGTAAAGACAGTGTCTACATAAAGTCAGAAATGAAAATATGGTCCATAAATTCTTTCACACAAATATTTAGGATTATCTGAAAGTAAATTCAGTGCCATAAACATGAATGATGACTGCAGCCTATTTAGTAATATAGAATATGGTTCATTGTGCAAACGTAATATGTTAAGCTGTATGCCTGCACTACCTGTAGATGTTGTTTTATCAGGTATGAAACAACTTATCATGTGGGTTTTACTCAAATGTATAAATACTCCTGATTACTGACAATATAGTTATATTGCATGGATAGCAGTCCTAAGGAGATGCTACAGGTGATGTAAAAAGGTTTTTTCAAAATATTACATGTAGGGCTGTACTAACATGTAACTCAGCAAAGTACAGTATTAGAACGAGAGACAACAAAACTTGATAGTGAGAGCTAGGAAAAGGTAGGTGAGCACTGGTTGTCAGCATACAGTGTTGAATATCAGGTATTATGGCTGTTACAAAGTGCCAGAGAGCACCAAGACCAGAACTCCAACGATGCTTAAGGTTTACATGGCGAGAAACTTTTGCTATGCACAGGTACTCTGTTGCAGACTGCACAATAACATCAGCTTAGAAAAAGCCCATTTAGTCAGGTATACCTACATCAGTTCTTCAAGTGCTTTATAATCAATTCCTGTTTGTCTACTAAATCTAAATCTACATAATATTGACCTCCTTCATGAAAATGAAGATGATGTCAGTGAGTGCTTTGCTTATGTTAAGAAGAGAAGGAAAGACATTTATGAAATAGTTTAGTGACAAGAGCAGATTGCAGACTTTAAGGCTGAAGTTGAGGAAATCAATGCAATTTATACTAAACGGTTATGAGTTACAGTCAATGGCTGTCCCTGTAAAGAAGGAAAATTTGTGTGCCTGTTTTATACATGGCAGTTTGATATATATTCTGGTGTGTATGTCCTGTTAAGTGGCATGGAATAGGAGGTCTATTTAATGTTGACTTTCTTGGAAGGTTAATTTGTGTAACAATGTCAGCCAAATATCCTTTCTTCTAAGTTCATGGAAGAACCAGCTTAGGTGTTTTATCATGTCAAAAACACTGTAGGTGTTTCTATGCTTTTAGCTTGTTGGTGACAAAGCTGGTTGCCCTTCTTTGAATCATTTATATTTTGTGTATGTCTGACTTCATGGAAGGATCCATAACAGAGCAGGCATTTTCTAGAGATGGTCTTATTAGGGTTTGTGTGCCCAGTCCTTGACTGAAGAACAGATCTCCAGGTTTCTTAAACCTCAAGTGGGAAATAGAGCCAGTGTGAAGAGATCGCTTGAAATTTCTGGTGGTAGATGTCTTAGAATCTTAGGTTTGAGCTCCTCATGACTAGCAGGTTTACTGAGGTTCATATTGTTAAGGAGTTTGAGAACAACTTCAGGTGTTACGAAGAATCAAGATGTTATGGATAACCGGAAACTGGGGTGTGGATGGAATTTTACATTTTTCTAAAAGAGATCATCAACAGTAAATCTGGTATGAATTCTTTGAAATCTTAAGTCCTTTATCGAGTTCTTAATTTTTAAAAAAGTAGAATTAATACATCAAATGTATACTGGGACATGGTAAAATAGTGAAAACTGATCGTGACATGATAGAATTAGATACATACAACTACTTTTGCCCAATGAAAAATTCAATACCATAGCATTTAAACCCGATTTCAACAAGTTTTCTAAACATAGATCTTAATGCATTAATAAACAGCGACAATACTTTTATCAGTCAAAATAACAATTGGCCGATTGTTGATCTAGGATGTAAACAAACAGCTAGGCATATATCGATACTTACGTTCAACAGTTGGTTTCTTCGAGAAGAACGACATTGTAATGATATTATTGGAAGACCCACTTCTCTCTTAAGCTAACCTCCAAACACTATGTTATTTCAGATCTGACTCAGTATTTAAAGAATATATTCGTTTGATTTTCATGTGATCATGACACAATCCGGAAATATAGAAATTTAATTCATGCGCAATGGCATTATAACAAACTAAACACAAAGCAAATATCGGTATCAAAAATTCCGGATGCAATAATATAAAATCAAAGAATCGGTTTTAGAAGTTCCTAAAGTTCTGTGATTTTAACACGTGATTTGATAACATTGAAATAATTTGCTACCGGCTATCATATTTTAGCAAACATAATGAAGTTTACTTAAAAGTCATAAGGACTTATCAGAGACGTATATATGTGTTATATATCTCTGGTCTAATGAGTATTGCTTTAAACAGTGGATCAGCCCAATTCCTCATTGTGGGTCAGTTTTATTTCTTTCTTTTAACAAAAAAATTGTACTTTTATAAAATGTTAAATAACGATTAATTTCACACAAAGCACTTTAACCCATATAAAATGGTTAATAGATTTATTTGTAATAATCTAATCTTAAACTCTGTGTAGAAGTGTTTCATTGAAATGAGGTGTAAAACCCATTAAATAAATAATCAATTAAAAAAAAAAAAAAAAAATCAGACATATATATACATGTAGATACACTTACAGACTCAACTTATCTGATGACATTGCAACAGCATGGCTTCAACAATTTCAGAACATCATATTTGAGTTAGCCCGTTCATATGTAATATCGACTGCATTCCAGAGTAACTCAACATTCCTATTATATTTCTTGTTGCAAAATGACTTACCATGTTTGCAGATATTGCAATTTCTTTTAATATTTTCATTGTGAAATTATACTCTTGATGTTATTCACTACCAGATTATACTCTAAAACCTTCCTTGATACTCGTTAGTATATACTCGTTAGTATATACTCGTTGGTTCTGTTGTTGTTTACCATGTTCTCATTTGGGATCATGAATTATTTACCGGTACTTGAATTGGACAGGATTTACATGGTGGATGTCATTAAAGAAGCAGGGGATGCTTACTCTTCTGGAAATCCTGTTTTTTTTTCTCCTTGTACTTTCTCCGAAGGCTCCATGGACTAAAATGATACATCATTAACACACTTTCCAACTTCTGTAAATTTTATTACAAAACCAGCCATTCCCACTAGAGACATATATAGCACATTTAAATCATATGTCTCCACACATATTTAATATTTTAAATATAAAAACAAAACAAAACATTTCTGAATACAAGCATTCATGGAATTACAATTTCCAGTAATTTATTCACAATTTTCCACATCATAAAAAAACTTCAATCTTGTATATAATAACATTCATGAACTGCATAAACAATATACTTTTCATGGATCCATCAACTCATGTTGACATCGTGATATTGATGACCTTAACAATCAGGTCCAGTCTTTCCTAAGTGATAGCAGTCCTATTAAAATCATTAATGAACAGAAAATAAAGGTGTTGTTAATTAAGATCTGTATTTTCATCAGATTGATGGGATAGTATTGTCAGTTGATTTGGGTTATAGGTGTAATATCAATATTCCTGTATATCTGTTTATGTACAACTAACAACTATCCAAATATATGCAGTCTGAAATGTAATTTAAACCAAAACAAGATAAATTGACTTAAAGATTGGGTGTCAAGCTCCAATGTTTTCATTTCTCATATAACATAATGTGTTATGTGTGTGTTCATGACTGCCTCCATCATCCGAGCCCAGGTCTGATATTCTGTAACAAAATCTCATTTGAGGTGAATATTACAGAATATCAACAACCTTGCAAACATACAGGTTTAAAATGTCTTAATACCATACATACTATGTCAAAAAGTTAGAAAAAAATACATAACCAAAGTATACATCTGTTTTCCAAATTCTTATATTTTGATGAATTTCCTCCCTTGTAGGTAACATGTTTTAAACAATTGGTTATGCAATTTAAATTCACTTATCAAATTAATTACAATTTCATGTATAGGTACTAGACAAATCTGACAAGATTAAAAATCCAGCAAACGATAGCACACAACATAACACTTGTACTGTGTACCAATAACCACCAGCAACCAGGTATAATATATAGCATCTATTACACATATACACACAAATATCTGAGCTCTAGGTGTGTTCTAAAAAATGTTATGGCAACGTACATGTCATAATCAAATCAGCTCCAAATGTTTCTATATCTTTACTTAGTTGATTCCTGCATTCATTAAACTGTTTGTGTATAGAAACTAGGCAAGGAAGTATCATGATACTTGTTTTTATTTAAATGTCTACTTTTTGGAATGTTTGAAAAATATGCCACAATTTTTAAAAATCATAAAAACATTTAAGTACACTAAAACTTGCTGTAAATAGAATTGGCATATCAAGTGAAATATTCAAATGTATATCATTTCTGACAATTTCTAACCCTATTACAGAGTTCCAATCAATAAATAAAATACCTTTACATTCATATATTTTTATTGCTCAATATTTTTCACATTTATCAAGAGATAAAGTCATATTTGATTCACAGAAAAAATAAGACCTTTACATGCACACTTGGCCATGTTTTAAGCACCTACAACGATAACCTATCAGTGTTTTCAAGATTTTCATATCATAGTCAAAATATGGGGAAGCCTTGACAAGATATGAGGTATGATCTTCCCCTGTTAAATACACAGTAAATAGAGACAAGCTCCCAAGAAATCCAGATCAGAGACTAGCGTGGACACATGGCATGCCGTCCCCCGTCAATGGGTATCTGAGCACCAGTGATGAAGGAGGAACTGTCTGATGCAAGAAAGGCAATCGTCCTAGCAACTTCCTGTACATCCCCAACACGGCCTAAAGCATGTGTCGTCTTGCAATGCTCAAGAAACTGTCAGAAGATAATGTTTGAAAACTAAATCTATTTCAAATAAAACATCAGTTTACTCGAACATGCAACAATGTTACCTTTACTTCAAAATTCACTTGTGTAAGACATTTCGTGATTAAAAAATGAACTTTATAGTTACCCTTAACATACCTCTTATAGCATTCAGTACTCAGGCCTATGAAACCAGCCTGGATAAATTAATCAGCTACCTGTAGAACATGACTAGGATAGGCCTATTAAAGCACCCTTAATCAATTAATCAGCTATTAATTATAGCGGATGACTATGCCAGGCCTATGATAACACACTCAATCAGCTATTGAATTATAATACATGACTATGGCCCTACCTTCTGGTATTCCTCTTCTGTCTTGCCTCCTCGTTTGTGGATTTCTGTAATAATTACTCCCGGGCTACAAATAAGAACATAGGCTCATGAACAGACATGTACTGTGTAACTGTCAACGTTTCATTTTGATCAAATTAACAATGAAACAAAACGTTTTTGTCTACAGATCTTTACAAAAATTAATCTATGTGAAAAGAAACTATTGTTTAAGACAAATGTAATGCATATATACAATTTAAAACTTACTTTACACTGTTTACACGGACTCCTTTTGAAGCAAGTTCTGTTAAAAAAAAAGATGAAAAAGCAAAATACAAAGTGGAATAAAACATCTTAGGCTGAATCACATTGATATATTTCACACTTATAGCATCGTAAATAAGAGAGTATTATGTAACATGTACTTCTTCATACCAGTAATGAAAGAGATGTAAATCTTTGATATTCTAAGATAACATACATATAAGTATTACTACAGCACTTTTATAAGCAGCCATTTGGGTAAAATATTTCATTTTGAAAGGAAACAGTTCAAAATAAATATCATTCTTATTCTCCCCAATAAATTATGATGTGAATGTAACAAAAAACAAGAGATCTGGTAAGGATCTTGTGCCCTATCATTGTTTGATCTTCATTTGTTCTTGAAAAGTTTGATTTTTTCTCTTTTTTTCCCTTATGTTTGTTCTAAATTACATGAAATTTGAAAATTTCTCTTAATAGCGGTAACAATAATTAAATGTCAAATAAAAAAATAAAAAATCGCCACCTGTGCGAAATTTTCGTTTTGGCTAGTCCCTAACCCAAAACGGCACAACTATGATGAACTAGGGGAAACCTTCACATAAAATCTGAGAAAGATCCATCCAGTGTTTTTCAAGAAAAGATCATACAGAAAAACTTTCCTTGTCAAAATCCAGTATGGCTACCTGTCAATCATTCTGTAATTCTTGTGCAATCCCTATAATCCAAGGGCACAACTGGGCACCATGAGGAACCTACACTTGAAATTTGATAAAGATTCACAAAGTCCTTCTCAAGAAATGGCAATAAAAAACATTCAGTCAACATCTAAGATGACAGTCTGTCAGCTATTTTGTTTTTCCTTTTTATCAGTCCTAAAATCAGTAGGGCATAACTTAAGGGATAAATAGGATTATCAAAATTAAAGAAGGCCACCTGTCAGCCATTTTGTTTTTCTGATCAGTCCCTTAATGAAAAAGATTAGCTAGAAAATATGAGGAACTTACATATGAAATATGAGAAAGATTTATCAAGTACTCCTAAAGAAATAGCCATAACAAGAATTGTTTCAGGACAGACGAACTGGCCACAAATGAAGTGCAATTGAACACAAAATAAGACTTACCCAGAGCTGTACAGCGAGTAAATTGGTCAATAGCACTTTTCGACATGCAGTAGGCAAGTACATTCGGAAACTGAAATTCAAGTAATTATGTTTAATTATTGTGTGTGACCATCATTAGTTTCTCATTTAATGGTTGTCCTGACAAGATGCTACAGATTGATAAAATGACCATAATACTTGTATAATCCAACTTTCCAATTAATTATTCTTGGCCCCAATTGGCTGTCAAGCTTATCACTATACCATCAGGGTACCAACAGGGTGAAATGAAGGGCAGTATCTCTGGGAGATCAGAGTGCTGGTGTCAACATAAACATCTTATGACCTTAAATTGTATGAACACTCATTGAACGGCCTTATGCATGGTACAGACACTGTTATCATTCGATATCACCTACTTAAAAGTGTGAATATTTTGTCATGAACTATTTTAAGGGGAAGTCCCTATGTGACATTACATATGGCATAAATTATGTTGTCATATGACTCTACATATTGCAGCTGTTAAACGGATACCATTATCATATTTACTGTTTGTAGAGTTTGACTAGAACTCTAGTTAAATTGTAGATCCTGTACAAACATTAATAACCAATATATCATTGGATACATACCGACCTCATACCATTGACACTGGACACATTCACAATGGTACCTTTGGTTTTGGTCAGATATGGCACAGCCAGCATCGTCAGCTGGTAGGGAGCTCTGAAATACAGGACATATAAAAGGTTAAGATATGTCCACATTTACATCTCTTGTTTCAGCTTGATTTCCCTCCTTTACTGATGGTGACCAAAAGATTACTAAAGTTAGACTTTTTCAAATTAAACTTCATCCTCCCTTTTCGCCCAATGCCTTATGAATCTGGTTACTATCAAATTAAAATTTATCCACCCGTTTTGCTTGATGTCTTGTGAATATGGTTACTATCAAATTAAAATTTATCCACCCTTTTCTCCCAATGTCTAATGAATCTGGTTACTATCAAATTAAACTTTATCCACCTTTTTTGCCCGATACTTATGAATCTGGTTACTCTCAAATTAAGAGTTATCCTCCCATTTTACCTGTCTTGTAAATCTGGTTACTATCAAGGAGAAAATTTCACCCTTACCAATCACTCATAAAATCTATATTCCCCTAAAGTAATTTTCCCTTCAATATAATTATTATATATCACATACATTTGCTTTCAGGCAATACCAATTCTCAACCTTAATGGAGGCGAAAATTGGCAAAATTTAAACAGTAATGAAAATTTCCCCGATTCATAATATGAAGATTTTTAATTGTATATAATTCAGTACCTACATCTTATTAAGAGATAAATATGAAGATCTTGATTAGAACATGTTGAAATGGACAATGCTGAGATTTGATCTGGTATGAAACCAACTGCACGAGTCAGAAAGTTTTCATTACATACACATATTTCTAAGAACAACCTGTGATGACATTCAGGACACAAACTCTAGATCATTCAAAATCAACAATTTTACAAGAATGTATCTCAATTCAACTCTGCGTGTTACATTAGGCAGTCATAGATTAATCAATACCTGACATTAATGTTCATTACAGCATCAAAATCTGCCAATGATGTGTTGTCAATGCCGCCTACTTTAAGGATTCCAGCATTATTAACCTGAAACAATATTTTGGAAACTTCAGTAATAATCAAATATAAGGCTCCACTAAGTCATTGTTCATCATCCTATTTTACCTTGGAAATTCTCTATGAGGTTTTCACAAATGGATCTTATATATATACATATGTACTTACTGCTTACTAGCAAACTTTTAAGGGGAGATTAAGCCTGTTTTGAACAGGTATACCTCACAACAATATTCCCACCGTATATCAAACATCTCTCACTAATGGATGAATTAGATCTTTAAAATCATGAACAGCTTTAAAAGGTTAACAGATATATTGAATCTGAAAGTGGGGCCAAATATGACTTTTTTTTTTCTAAAAATAAGGAAAGGAGACAAGAATCTCAGACCAACACAAGTTCATCATCGGAAGCCTACAGAGCTGCTAACTACAACAATGGTTGGATGCGCTAATGAAAATTGTAGCTAGGTTACAGAAACATGAATACCTTGAAACACATATATTTGATTTGCTAAAATATGATATCTTTGACACTGCAGTGAACATCATCTATCAACATTAGTGACAACAATTACAACAGTACCTACCTTAAACTTCAAAAGTGGTCAATGGTCAACTACAGTATTCAGTAGCCTTTTATTGATGCAGTATATTTTTTACAATGATAAGATGACCAAGAGATTATCAGATAGGTCATAACTCAGATAGGTTCCACTTTTAACCTTGACTTGTTTGAAATAGCAAATTCAAAATCATTAAAGCCATTTCAATGCAGTGGACCAGAATCATTATAATTTACACAAAGAAACATAGATATCAATTATTCTGGACTTGTACTTAAGCACTATAGTACACTAGATGTAAAAAGATGAAATAAATTGAAACAAACACAAGTAGGAATTTAACATGCATACCAAAATGTCTAGTTGTCCAAAATGTTTGATGGTCTCATTAAAAATGCGAGTAACATCCTCTTCTTTCAACATGTCGGCTACAATCAGGAGAGGCTGTGGAAGAGGGAGAATTAAAATATAATCACATACTCTAACAAAATATATACAAAGAGTAGCCCAGAGGAGATATGACCATTTCATTCTCTACAAGTACACAATAGAGACTGCGGAAAGGAGAGGAGAATAACCTAATTCTCTAAAAGTGTTTTTTAGGATAAAAATTCTGCTTTGTGTTTCATTTAAAAAATTCTTTGACAATATCCTATTGCTAGTATGCTATAAAAGTTGAGGAACTGTAACAATATTAATCCCCGCTTAAAAAATCTTTCGTTTAAAAAAATCATACCACCTGTTTGCTACCCTTCTGAACACACTGGGCTGCAGTTGTTTGGAGATTTTCTTCATTACGTCCAGTCAGGGCTAGCTGTGCTCCTAGTTCTGCAAACAGTACAGCAGTCCCTGCTCCTATTCCCGCACTGGCACCTGTAAAATCCCATCGACATGCCTTTGTTACGTACCTCGGTAACAGTTTTTTTCAAGTAATCTGAACAAAACTTTACACTGTTTCAACCAGACATTCAACAATTGAAGGCAGCTTTATTGAGTAACAGAAGCTAAATTGCACAGCATACAAATCCTGAACTTGTCACTATATTGGGAAACTGATCGACTTGTGGCCGCAACAACAACGGACGGACTGGTCTTGAGCCGGTACGTGCAGACGGTCGACAGAGACTCGATTCGTTATTTACACCTTTACATGAATATGTGTTAGCAGAGACATATATATACGTCTCTGGTATTAGTTATCGTTGCTAGCCCATGGGATCGGAACGAATTACGACTGGAAGCCCAACGGTGATGACATGAGCTCATCGATATTTGTACGTCATGTTTTTACCTTGTCAAAACAGTTACCTGTAATTAATGCCACCTTTCCGTCCAGACGATGTACAGTTCCACTCGTGGCCATTGCGACTTAACTGTTTACAACTTGGGATGTACAACTTGAGGTCAGGTAAAACGAAAGGGATGACGTCATCATATTTTGTGTATTCTATCTTGAGATCCAAACGGCTTCGACGCTCAGTGAAGACAGAAATAATATTAATGATAATCATAATAATATGCGGCCTTATTTCCCCCTGAAAATGGTTTCCATCAAAAATCAACGAATTGACAATTGAGCTTATAAGAAAAAAAAATCGAGAAAATACCAACTTGTTACCATAACCATAATCTAAACTAGGTCATAATGTGAACAAAAATGATTAATGCGGAGACTCCTGAAAGTAGTACAAGGAGAATAATACCACGTGTTCCAGAAGTGTAAGCGCCTTCTGTTTCATTGATAACACCCTCCGCTAAAGCATGGCATAGCCATGTAAGACTTGAACGTCTCATTCTCAAATGAGAACAAGGTATACAATAATGGAACCATCAGGGAAATTTACCATAAGTGTAAAACACGTTCCGCTTCTTATCTCATGAGCTAAGATATTGAAATGTGTTTTTTTCTGCTTCATATAGAGTTCATTCCTATTATCTGGTTGTCAGTTCTATCTGTAATTTGGCCACATGAGTTAGTAAAATACCGTGTCAATATCCTCAGTAAACTATATACAAATGTATGTGATTGTCAACAAATATCATTTCTGTAGTTTCTGGGTGTCTGCAAAGAATTGATGTAGAACAGGAGAAGACTATAGGTCTGAGAATTTATTCCTGATAACCTCTGAGAATTCCAGAGAGTTGCTTCGTTTAGAAATGAAAACAACTTCTATCTATTCAAATTTCCTTCAATATGTACGCACACCGATATGTACATTTAACAAACATTTTTTCTCTCACTTTAAATATCTACATCTGCATAGTACTTTTTCTACTGCAGGAATACTTACACCATATTTATCAAATAATGTATTAATTTTTACTGTTAATAAGTTATAAGTTAAATTTTTATAACATTCAATCATAGATAGAAACAACTTTAGTGATTGTGCTTTCTAGTATTAAAATAAGTGATAATTCGTTCACTTTTGACATGTGTTTTGTTTCATTGAACCACTTGGCTTATCATAGCAATGTACCTTTTTCAACAAAGACACATGTAATCTCACTAGCACATCACAAAAGTGTTTTAATCTGTGTTTCAATTGTTAAGATACATACGTTCATTAGTACATGAAGTACGTTAAATCATTTCTACCGTGGTCTTTCTGCATGAACAAATTTAAATTACAGACAAAAGTTTCCATAAATATGACATTGCTTCTCACAATAAGCCAAGTATTTCTCAGTAACTTATGTAAGTGTAGAATGTGACCCAGTTTTGTGAATACATAAAAGGTTTCGTACAGATATATCAGGTTATACAAGGTAAATGCTTGTATCTGACTATTTGAATGGTGTTATTTCTAAAAGGAAATATTGTAAATATAAGAACTATCCTTTTCTTTTGTTTAGTTTGTGTAATCACAATGAAGCATAGGTAAGTTCGTCCTGTTAGTCTTGAACAAACATAATGCTACTTTTTGGAAAAGCAAAAAAAAAAAAAAAAAGTATGGACCTTCCTGTAAAATGTTTCTGTTTCTTTGATAGAATGGAGGCTGTATCTTCGATGAATGCGTCTATAGGACACCTATAAAGCAATGGGGTATTGAATCAATTCAGAGTCCACAGAAAGAAAGAGACCCCCATATTCTACATCTATTCATGGATAAAGTAACTTCTGCGATCCATTGTCATTTCATTTTATTTTATTTTATTATGTACAAAGTTTTTATTCGTTTGCTGAAAACATGATCTTATACATCAGTTATTTTCGTTCCGTAATCATTAAAAATGTTTGTCTTTTTATTGCGATTTACTAAATCCAAATAAGAGAGTTGACGCCATCGAAGTATTTCTTGGGTATGCATGATGTACATTTTACTTAGCTTGCTGACTAAAAAGTATTGCATAGAAAACTCTACACTCGTTGTGTTTTTGGAATGTCTGTAAAACCTCATATAATGGAACATTTTATTCAGATTAGTGATGTTATCAGAAGTACTTATAATACAACCAGTAGAAGATTAAAGTGTGACTACACGGTCACATTCATCTTATTACACAACCATTAGAAGATAAGTGTTTGATATTTCGATGACTATACAGTTGCCTTCATCTTATTACACAACCAGTAGAAGATTAGAATGTGCTATTTCGATGACTTCACGGTCACCTTCAACTTATTACACAACCAGTAGAAGATTTGAGTGTGCTATTTCGATGACTACACGGCCACCTTCATCTGATTACATAACCAGTAGAAGATTAGAGTGTGACGTTTCTGTGACTGCACGGCCACCTTCATCTTATTACACAACCAATAGAAGATTAGAGTGTGACGTTTCTGTGACTGCACGGCCACCTTCATCTTAATACACAACCAGTAGAAGATTTGAGTGTGCTATTTCGATGACTGCACGGCCACCTACATCTGATTACATAACCAGTAGAAAATTAGAGTGTGACGTTTCTGTGACTGCACGGCCACCTTCATCTTATTACACAACCAGTAGAAGATTTGAGTGTGCTATTTCAATAGAAGATTAGAGTGTGACGTTTCTGTGACTGCACGGCCACCTTCATCTTATTACACAACCAATAGAAGATTAGAGTGTGACGTTTCTGTGACTGCACGGCCACCTTCATCTTATTACACAACCAATAGAAGATTAGAGTGTGGCGTTTCTATGTTTACACGGTCCTTACATCCGACAAATGACCTGTATGGAGCGTACTAGCACTGACGTACATAGTGTGCAAGATGGTGAGGAATCGACCAACTCTCCTTGACATCCTCCTAGTAAAGAAAAGATGATAGTGCTATAAAAGTATTGGTCTAAAGGAAAGAGACGTGCATGGACCAATACCTTAACGTCCGATCGCATGACCCCTTACACCAGAAGTTGGGCGTTGGTTAAACATCTGGATACGCTACAGCAGATCAGTTCCTCCACAATTCAGCCCATGTAAGCTTTCTCTCCTGGAGGTTCTATCTGGTCCATGCACCCTGCTTACTCAGTTCAACATATTTCCGCTTCTCCTCTTCTACTCTCCGTACCTCTTTTTGAACCATCTGTAGTCGCTCCTGCTTCACCTACAGCAGCAGTCGCAGACCACTTTCGTCCCGTCCTTGTCTGTATTGCTGCCTCAATGATCTTTGGATCTTTGGAGTCCCGGAGTGTCATCACCAGTCTGCACTTGGACACTTCGAACTCCTCACAGACTCCTGTAAGTGGCAGTTGTAGCTCTGTAGAGCGTCCATACAGAGCGATATCTGTGAAGCTTCGCGGGACTCCTAGCCTTTCTTTCTCAGGTACCTGTTTACAACCCTCTCTAAAGTCTCCACTGTCGTCATTGGGATCTCATACAGCAACAGCAAACATGTCAGTCTCGGTAGCATGCCATGCTGGTACATCCAAGCCTTATACTTTCCCGGAAGTCCTGACTTGTTTATCCTCGCCATCCATTGGTGCACCTGTGCCTGGGTGTTCTTCTGGTTCTGACCATCTCCCAGTGTGTCGTCAAACTATTTCCATAGGCATTTGATGGGATTGCCAATGATTGAAGGGATCACCTCTCCCTGGATATTCAGTGTAAACTGTTGGCTGATTCTTCCTCTCCTCACAATCATGCAACGCGACTTCCGAGGTTTATACTGCATCCTTGCCCATGAGAACATTTCGTCCAGCGCAGACAGCACCCACCTGGTTTGTACATTCGTTATGGTTGTGAGGTCATTCATGAACCCTCGGTCCATTCTTGGTCCTCTGGTTTCCTTCTCTGCAGCGTTTATTATGAGGTTCATTCCCATAATGACGAGAATTGGTGATATAGTGCATCCTGTCACTATTCCTTTCTCTAGATCTATCCACTTTGTAGTGCTTTTCCCGACTGCAAATCTCATCTGCATGCCTCCGAAGTAGTCCATTACCATGTTTCCTACCTGCCTTGGAACATGATAGTGCTCTAAGGCCACCTCAATCAGATTGTGTGAGACCGAACCATAGGCGTTGGCAAGATCCTACCAGACTACCGTCAGGTTACCTCTGTTCTTCTTGGCTTCCCTGATCAGTTGGCTAATTGCAATTGTATACTCAATACATCCAAAGAAACCCTGGGATACCCCCCTTCTGGACTGAGGTGTCAACGTAATTGTTATCCACCATAGGATGCCATTCACAAGGACAGAAAAGAAGATCTTTCCCTCAACGCTCAGCAATGAGATAGTCCTAAACTGGTCAACCATCTTTGAGTCTTTCCTCCTTTGGAATAAAGACTACCTCCACTCTTTTCCAGCATGTCGGTATAATCCCCTTGAATGGATTTCAACTAAATTTAGCCTGAAACATCATGCACTTTCAAGGTCACAGTGGTTAAATATGTTGAAATGCTTAAGCAATTTCTTCTCAATAACCAAAAGGCCAAGGGTCTTGATATTGGACCTGTAGCTTGCTTTTCCAACACGCAAACGTCCAGATTAATGGCAATGATATAGAGCACGTATAAAGAATGATTTCAAGTTTGTAGAAAATGTCTTGATGAACCAACAATGTCTTCTATGTAAGGTGTAGAGTAGTTAAGCAATCTATTTTAGGCCTATTTTGCCTCTTTCATATAAAGGTCTTTATAGTCAGATGGCCATTATTTAGCGAATTAACTTAATCCTTGTTTGACTACTCACTTAATAGATGTGCTATTTACATTCCATTAACTTGAAGAATAAACTCTTTGTGCATAGCGGGTTCATTTTATTTGTTTCCTTTGTAATTTGAAAGACATTATTTTAGAACCCAACACACCGCAATTGGAACTTTTAGCTGCTAGTGAAGTAATGAATGACAACTGTAACATTCCCATGAATTCTAGAGGACATAACCATTCATTGTCCATACATCTGAATCCAAAGCCAATTTGTTTGCATGAGTATCTATTCTTTTAGTCACTTACATTTATTTAATGAGCTTGAATATTTTCTTCTTCTTCAATAATTTTGATTTATTTGTTAAAAGTTTTGTTCACACAAGTTTTCCTTTGTACAATATCATACAAGACATGATTCCTGAAGTGGTAAAACATGTGTAGAACTTACAATAATACTTACACATCCATAATTTTAACACAAATGCCCTGCTTACACGGCTACACATAGCAGATGACAGGTATACAAATTGTTTTACCTTCTGCTGCACATATCTCATATTTTCAATTGAAACACACACACACCTTGTACACAAATGTTTGCCATGATTTCAGTTAACACACACACACACACACACACACACACACATAACCTCACTCACACAATATAAAACAAAATTAAACAAAAACAAAAAAACAAAAAAAGAGGAAACCTAGAAAATTAAAAGAAAATGACAGCATGGTTGTAGACAGCCAATGACTGTCCTTCCAATTGCTATAATTTTAATGGTTGCCATAAATTTATGAATCGATATGCTATTTGAAAGTGGCGTGCCTAACATGTTCATGTTAAGCTCAAAATTTTATCAGGATATCTTTGACACTTCAGAAATTATGGCTCACAGAAAAAGAATTTACAAGTAATTTTGCACTTTTTTGACATTTGACTATGAGATCAAGGTCATAGTGACCTTATTTTAGTGTACTGAACACTGTCTACGGTTGATGCAGTCATATTCCAAGTTTGATCAAGATACCTCAATTAGTTCAAATGTTATGACCCAAGCAAGATTGTATTAGAATAGAAATGACAATAACTTTGAGAACAACCATTTCTACAACAATAAGCTTGCCTTCATTCCAAGGGGAGACAACCAAGTCTACAGAGCAATGTCTCAAAAGTTTCCTTGTGCATATTCATGTAGCAGCACTGAACCCTTTTTCAGCTAGAACATTGCAATGTGAACTTGTACAAGAGTTTGGACTTGCTTGTATGGACAATTCCTTAACCTTCCACCCCATGTGAGTATACACAGTGCTTCTATGTAACAATTCAAAATTTCCATCTTGTTCTCATGAAATAGTAAGAAATAGACAAAATTATAACATAAAAATGTCATGGTCAGCAGAAGTCATGTCTGTCTGGAAGACATTGCTCATCTTCCAGTAACTACTAAGGAACACATAAAAACACAGGGATGGTATTTCTTATCAACTGCCATTTGAAGCTGAAATCATTAGATGAGATTAGATGTATGAGATTGATGATTGATATTAAATATTCCCATTATATCACAGTTTCTTGTCCTTATATGTTAAGCCAAACACTCTATGTAAGAACTCAAAAGCAGGTCAATTTTACATCTTATTTGGCAATCACAGCAACATATAACAGTCTAGGCTGTAGACTTGGTGATCACCTCAACACACAACAGTCTAGGCTGTAGACCTGGCGATCACCTCAACACACAACAGTCTGGGCTGTAGACCTGGCGATCACCTCAACACACAACAGTCTGGGCTGTAGACCTGGCGATCACCTCAACACACAACAGTCTAGGCAGTAGACCTGGCGATCACCTCAACACACAACAATCTAGGCTGTAGACCTGGCGATCACTTCAACACACAACAGTCTAGGCTGTAGACCTGGCAATCACTTCAACACATGACTGTCTAGGCAGAAGACCACCTCGTGAGTATTTTTTGAGTTTCTAAAATGTTGCACCTGCTAAAATGCATGGGCACACTTAGTTGTAGCCTCTCAAAATGTCGTGCACAGAATGGCTTGGTGCTTGTGACAGTTCTGTTCCAGTAGTACAAGCCATCTGGTGCAGTATTAAGCCATCTAGTGTCCTGGCCTATAAGAGCTCAGGTACAAGATGGTTTGGCACAGTATCAGAACACCCAGAGTTCCGGCTTTGTGACCGTTTAGGTACAAGACAACTTAAGGGTCAAGTAAACATTAATTTGGATTCATGACTGTTCAGGTTCTTGGAATAAGACCCAGTTCTTGGAGGCAGGCAGCTGCTGTTGAAGCCTTGGCCATCTTCTTGTTGTTACTGGCAACAGATGGCTGATAGGAGCTTCCATTTATTATCACCTGAAATCATACAAAGTATCAGTAAAGAATCACCAGAAATTACAGAATATTGGTCATTTTATGATGAATCACCAGAAATTACAGAATATTGGTCATTTTATGATGAATCACCAGAAATTACAGAATATGGTCATTTTATGATGAATCACCAGAAATTACAGAATATTTGTCATTTTATGATGAATCACCAGAAATTACAGAATATTTGTCATTTTATGATGAATCTCCAGAAATTACAGAATATTTGTCATTTTATGATGAATCATCAGAAATTACAGAATATTGGTCATTTTATGATGAATCATCAGAAATTACAGAATACTGGTCATTTTATGATGAATCTCCAGAAATTACAGAATATTGGTCATTTTATGATGAATCACCAGAAATTACAGAATATTGGTCATTTTATGATGAATCACCAGAAATTACAGAATATTGGTCATTTCATGATGAATCACCAGAAAGAGTGTTGGTCATAACACAATGAATCACTACAAATTCTGGTTTGTCGTTAATAACATGATGAATTGCTAGAAATTATGGAGTGTCATTTATAAAAAGATGAATAACCAGAAGTTATTACATGATGCATCACTAATTATGAAGTGCTGTTCATTATATTATGAATGACACTTCATAATTTCTAGTTACCATGTTTTGCAACAATGTTAATAACAGTCTATAGAGTTAATTGATAAAAAGATCACTTATTTTTACGTTGTTTGTCTTCTTTTTTTACCTTGAAGAGGAAATGTTTTTTATGATCTGGTCCACTTTCATGAATGAGCTGGAAATCTGGTGGTCCCCACTTCCGTTTGTTACAGAGCTCCATTAAGGCTGATACAGGGTGTTTACCTAGGAACAAAGATCAAAACAAAGAGATTTTCTAGTTATTCCACAATGTCAACAAAAAGTCCATGTAGTCATTCACCTGTTCTGCAGTTTAAAAAGCAGATTTCATTAGTTAAGTCAGTTTTTGCACACTTGAAAAAACCTATTACCCAAACTTGGTAGTTTGTTATCTGCGTGGGATAGAGGCCTTATATCATTATCTTAGGTCCCTTGGTTATTGAGAAGAGGTTGTTTGAACATTTTAACAAATTTGACCTCTGTGACCTTGAAAGTGGATCAAGGTCAGACAAACCTGATAGTCTTTCATCCCTCCATCCTATAGGCCACATATCATTTTCTCCGAGTTATTAAGAAGAAGTCGCTAGAAGTTTTAAACTTATTTGACTATCGTGGACTTGAACGTGTGTAATGGTAATTCATTTGAACCAAGTGGGCAGTCCTTTGTCTAAGCATGCTGCTGTCCCATTATCATAACTGTGCCCCTCTTAATTTGAACAAAGTGGGCAGTCCTTTGTCCAAGCATACTGCTGACCCATTATCATAACCTTGCCCCTCATAATTCTTTCCAGTACAAAATTTGAAATCATATATATAATAGTGATATCAAACTTTACCAGTTTTATAAAAAAAAGCTATTGAGATAAACATAAATTTGTCAATGAATGATGTTTGCACTGTTTACTCTATAATACAAAGTAAGGAGGGACTTGTGTAGGCTTACCGTCCATGACTTTATTTTTATATTTTCAACTAAATCTGTTGAGACTTGTACGCAACTTTTTTATTGTAAAAGCGATAAAGGGTGAACTTTGACTTTTAATGTTGACTGATAGACCACTAAAAACTAATTAGATGTATACCATGTTGTTGTGATGCTATGGTGTGAATTTGATCAAACTCCATCATGATGTTCACATGATATCTTGTACACAAGCGTTTTATCAACTAAGTGGTCATGAAGAATAAGTAGCTAGTATTCATCCCTCTTTACTGATCTAAGTGCCCATCATTGTTCGATCTTTATTTGTTCTTTGAAAGTTGGATCTTTTCCCTTCTTTCCTCTTCTCTGTTTTTGCTCTTAATGATAAGAAATTTGAACATTCCTTTGCAGAAATAGCAATGATAATCTTTCACCTGCCAAATCCAAAAAGGTCGCCTGGAAGCCATTTGTTTTTTCTGATCAGTCTCAAAATCAAATTGGCACAAGTAATGAAATTTGAGAGAGAACCATAGAGTACTTCTTAAGAAATAGCGATAACAATCTTCGGAAGTCAATATCCAAGATGGCCACCTGTAGGCCTTTTTTTCTTCCTGATCAGTCCCAAAATCAAACTGGTACAACTAAGGACAAAGAATGCTCCATCTAGCCACCTGAATATCATGCCTCAAGGCCTTTTAGTTCATGTACAGAAGTCATTTAAAGGTTTTAACAAATCTGACCCCTGTGACCTTAAATTTAAGTCAAGGTCATTTCTTTTTTCGCAAACTTTGTCAGGCTTCATCATAGGAACATACCAATCAAGTATCATTCCTTTAGATTTTTTTAGTTCATAAGAAGAAGTCATTTAAAGGTTTGAACAAATCTAACCTTGTAACCTATGACCTCTTTTTGCAAACTTTGTTGGGCCTTATCCTTGGAACATACCACCCAAATATCAAAACATTTGGGACATAGGTTATTGAGAAGAAGTTATTTAAAGGAAAAAAATTGATGACGGACAGACGACAAACACCTTGTAAAACCTCTAATGAAGGTTCAGTAGAAAATAGTAGTAAACCATTTGGTAGATAGCTGACACTCCATATTAATGCTTCACCTTAATGATAGTCAAACATATTCTGGATTGTGATCCAGTACTGACTGAAGAAATTCAATAATTCTAACACAAGTCAGGTGTTGCACATGTAACATTGTGTGGTCAAGTGGTAATGCACTCGCCTTTCACCTCGGCATATAGAGTTTCATTCCTGCAGGCCTTGAAAAAGTGTGGTCTCACCTGCCAAAGTATGGTCTCACCTGCCAGATCATGTGGCTTTTCACCTGGTTATCTGGTTTCTACCTACAGTAAGACCCTTAGCACACTTTCAATCAGGCCAACAAAAGTGATTAGTATAAGTTGGAAAAATTTGTTTTGCAATTTTTGTTAAATAAATAAAAGTTTAATTTTAACCTTCACTTCTTTAGTACTCACTGGAGAGATCATGTGTGAAAACACCTGCCCCGCCCCCTCCTGCTGCACCTTTACTTTGGCCTTTTCCTCCATGATGTCCCCGCCCTCGCTTGGAATGTTCCTCTTGTGATGTCAGTCCTGAATAGAAACATGTTGCAGAAATGTGTAACCCTATGTTAGCAATGTTAGCAATGTTGTTAACTATTACCTGGTATTATGGTAATTACATTACTGGAACTATGAACGAGAACAACTTTTTCTTTTCTATTTGTCCAATGAATTAATAAATTTGAAAAAAAAACATCAGTGCAATCATTCAACAAGATCATTATGGTCTAATTTCCATTTCAATGTCATCTTGTTAAAATGTTTTACATTTGAAATGTTGATTGATATAGATAATTGTAGGTAAAGTTTTTTCTTAAATCATAGCTTTGCTATCCTGAGGTATAGAAATAGATCCATTTGTCCAGATGTTCATGCTGTCACAGAAAAATAAAAAAAAAATCAGCTTTACCAGTCACATATCACTGATGATTTTAGCCATATTTTCCCCACCATAATACAAATAAACCTTCAAAAGTATATCCACACTTATCCATCTTTCCCAGACACCTCAGACAGTCAGCTACCACTTCAAACTGACCTTTGCGATCAGTCTTGATGTCCAGTTTAAGTGGCTCCAGTGAGCCCTCATTATTCTTTCCCAGACCAGTGCCCTGTTTCCAGCCCATCTTTTGCAGCAGTGCCATTCCTATCCCTCCACTCACAGGTGCTGCTTTCTGAAACTGGTCCTGTAGTAACAGACAGACAATTACATCCTGGTCACAAGTACTATGTCAGATATTGGTAACATACACAACACATACATATCTACATACATCTGTATACATCTTTCCTGTGCTTTCTAAATTTACATCTCTGCTTTTGTGCATATTTCAGAGGTCAAACAATTTTCAAGTTAAAAACACACAATATTTATTTCTTTACTAATTCTGTTAACATATGGATACACAGCAATATTGTCCATGAAAACACATTTAATATAAACAAGTTCAAATTAGCATTACATCTTGTCTCCAAGAAAATCTAAAGACAAAAAATCTGGTACTTCCAGTATATTATGTAGCCTTCAGGACTTTACAAGCTAACCAATAGGAATAAAGAAGAACACATGAACCAATTTATTTCATTTTATTTCAAGGCTTTAGTCATATGATCAAAGATAACAAAAGAAACATTTTTGAATCTTAAAAATTCTTTATGCGTGTCTTGTGGTGAACTGACCCGCACAGACTTTATTGTTTGAAAAAAACATAGTTTTATAACACAGACACCTAAACCTTCACAATTAAAATCTAAAAGGGAAAAATTAAACTTTCTCATTTTCTTATCATAATTTTCTAAATTACAACTAGATTATGTTCATATCATCTACATATGGTGAGCAAAAGCCATAACTCAATCCATAAAAGTAACACTCAATCATCCAATAAGGTGCTTGCATAAAAAAATTGGCAATTGCAGAAAAAAAAGAATATATGATGTATTGCTATCCAATATGCTTAAAACTTTGTTATTGACAAATTAACTTCACTGATGGAGAGCATACCTGTCTGGCAACACTGACCAGGACAAATAACACAACAATGATTACAAAATTCCTTGGCATATGAACTGGCACTTTTCCTGGCTTGATGTGCTGCCTGGACTTACCACACGTTGTTCACTGGAGGTGTGTGGTGACACACAAGGCCAAGGTCACACAAATACGGTCTCCTAGTGACACCATCTGTCGTTGTTATGGTGACAGGGAGCTGTTGTTTACGGAAGCTGTTGGCCATTAAATGAGAGGAAGCATAAAAATTGCACCTACCAACCTAGCACTCTAAAGAATGCAAGTACCTAAACATACAGTATTCCCCTAAGGTATATTCTTGTTTAAATTTGAAACTGAAAAAAACACCTGTCTTCCTGAAAATACAAGTCAGTGAATTTCAAGTAATATTTAAACAAGAAGATACCAATATATATTGAATATGTAAGTCTACTTGTTTATCACTTATAAATAAGACCTTGACTAGAGAATAGTAGGTGCAATGTCTTTATGCTTCCAGCTCACAGATATGTATGATAGAAGCAGATAGTATTGTTTTTGACGTAAAAAATCTTCCTCTAGTTTCAAACTTTATGTTACTTTAACATTATTTCCTTTAGCAATGTTTCAGACCGAATATTTCAAAACAAAGTTTAAAGTCACAATCATTTAACTGCTTCTGTGATACTATATGTTGATGGTTTTTTTTATTAAAACACAGACAGGATGTTTATGTACTGAAAGCACTACACCAACAGTGTACAGAAACATCTGTCTGTATAATGGTAAGAATGGCCACCAATGTGATTCATTCTGTGATACAGTCAGTGATATCGATGTACTTTCCAATGCCTCTTCAGTTGTAATCATTACATTTCCAAAATATTTCCTTTTAATCTAATATCTTAACAGACATCCTGTAATTATTGATGTCACATGACTGGTACCATGGATATCACACAACAGTTAACTGGATCACAATGAGGCACAGAGGTGTCCATGGCGATGGAGGATCTGTGTGGAGTGTCCGACTACAGACAGGTGTCTGTTTACCATTACAACCTGGAAATAGACAGTTGCCTCATCATTCAGTTGAGCTTGTACTGCTTTCCTTCCAAACCATATAAAGTATCAAATATTTTTTTCAGAAAGTCTGACATATGATCTCCTACATCCAGGTATAAATATTTCTGTATCATTTGGTTCTACTTTTGTGTTCCTGTTGGTTATTACGTGATGTATATACATAAGTCATACTCTTTCAGTGATCTAACACATAAAATTCTTTCTCTAAGAAGCAGCATATGACTTTTTAAATATCAATAATTAAGACGTTTTGTTTTTCCTTTAACATTCAGACATACATAAGAGTAATTTATATCATTTTATTTTTCTTCTGTACAGCATACCAAGTACCTACCAATCGTTTGTCTCTACATGTGTTCCTTGAAGTGTATAATAAACTACAATTTTAAGCAATATGTTTATTAATGCCCATGATGCTATATAGAAAACAATGTATATTTTAATAAATCATTTGTTTGATTTAGGAGTACTTTAGAAAGGAAGACATCCTCCATATCCTTTATTTGTTTTCTGTTTGCAGTATACAAACAAAACCAACTCCTATATTTCAATACTTTTTGCCTTTACTTCATTTGTTTACCACAACAATCCATAAAAGCTACCTTAATTTTGAATGCAAACAAATTCAACTGAATGATGATATGGAGATGGGGTACAATATACAATATGACACAAGTGTTACCTTCTTGGCCCAAGCCTGGTGTCGCTTGTCTGGGCCCATCAGTTCATCTGGGGTCAGGATCTGTGCCCCAGTAGAGCCTATAAATTGGCCTGGCAACTGTTTGGATGTAGCCCACATACTGGCCTGTAGGGAACACAAGCAAAAATTTGAGTCCTTCCTTGGCTTGAGAAGGAACCAAGTGATCAGACATTTTCCATGAAGTTTTCCCAATCAACCTATCAAAACAAGAGCTATTTTCTGTATAACATGTTATGTGATGTTTAGTTCAGGTGTCCATGGTAATCTGAATTATTGTGACAGTTTAGAGATTGCATCCTTGATGATCGAGTGGTCACAAACACTTTCACTCTGTGCACCCCTTGAAGTTGTCATGGCAAAATTGCAGGTACAAGCAAAGTAATTTCATTGGTTCCAGGAGAAAAAACTGACCAATCATGAGCTGATATACTCCTTTTGAAGATAACATAGGAGGAACACCAACTTAAAAGCCATTACAAAATCTGAAATTTGTTTGATTTACATCAAAGGATCAAACTGGACTTCTCGTCTTATCCATAAGGTGTCATACATGCAACCTTTAATTTTGCCATGAAATATTCCAGGTGTGAAGAGAGCGAAAGTGATCACAGCTCCTGGAGTATCAAGGATGAGAGATTGTGGCACATTGTAATTTATAAATTATAATATAGTATCTTAAAGGTACAATAAGGTAGACAGACCGACAAAACAGCCACAACATACTTTCTTTCAGTGCTATTACTAAGGTTGGGAAGCTAATAAAAGGTATTTTCTTTGCTGGTGTCAGACAAACCTTTTTCTGGGCATCTGCTATGTTGCTCAGTGCTGAAATATCTTTGGGATTTTCCTGAAGCTTCCTTACAGCAAGCAGACGTTCAGAAATTATAGACCCAATATCCATTGGCTAAAAAATAAAGTATTTTCTGAATTGAAAAGGATGATTTTTGTCAGTATTTACTAATAAACAATATACATACTGTATCCTCCGATTTATATATACTACACCCTCCAATATACTGATCCTCCAAAATACATTCTGTTTCCTCCAAAATTCTGATTCTCCAAGATACATACTGTACCCTCCGTTATATATATACTACACCCACCAATATACTGATCCTCCAAAATACTGATTCTCCAAGATACATACTGTACCCTCCAATATATATATATATACTACACCCTTACACATATATATATACTGTACCCTCTAATATACTGATTCTTCAAGATACATACTACACCCTCCAATATACATTCTGTTTCCTCCAATATACTGATCCTCCAAAATACATTCTGTTTCCTCCAAAATACTGATTCTTCAAGATACATACTGTACCCTCCGATATATACATACTACACCCTCCAATATACTGATCCTCCAATATACTGATCCTCCAATATACTGATTCTCCAATATACATACTACACCCTCCGATATATACATACTACACCCTCCAATATACTGATTCTCCAATATACTGATCCTCCAATATACTGATTCTTCAAGATACATACTGTACCCTCCGATATATACATACTACACCCTCCAATATACTGATCCTCCAATATACATACTACACCCTCCAATATACTGATTCTCCAATATACTGATCCTCCAATATACTGATTCTCCAATATACATACTACACCCTCCGATATATACATACTACACCCTCCAATATACTGATCCTCCAATATACTGATCCTCCAATATACATACCACACCCTCCAATATACTGATCCTCCAATATACTGATCCTCCAATATACATACTACACTCCAATATACATACTACACCCTCCAATATACTGATATACTCCAATATACTGATCCTCCAATATACTGATTCTACAATATACATACTACACCCTCCTATATATACATACTACACCCTCCAATATACTGATTCTCCAATATACTGATCCTCCAATATACTGAATATACTGATCCTCCAATATACTGATCCTCCAATATACATACTACACCCTCCAATATACTGATCCTCCAATATACTGATCCTCCAATATACTGATTCTCCAATATACTGATCCTCCAATATACTGATTCTCCAATATACATACTACACCCTCCAATATACTGATCCTCCAATATACTGATCCTCCAATATACTGATCCTCCAATATACATACTACACCCTCCAATATACTGATCCTCCAATATACTGATCCTCCAATATACTGATCCTCCAATATACTGATTACTCCAATATACATATCTACACCCTCCAATATACATACACCTCCAATATCCTCCAATATACTGATCCTCCAATATACATACCACACCCTCCAATATACTGATCCTCCAATATACTGATCCTCCAATATACATACTACACCCTCCAATATACTGATCCTCCAATATACTGATCCTCCAATATACATACTACACCCTCCAATATACTGATCCTCCAATATACTGATCCTCCAATATACATACCACACCCTCCAATATACTGATCCTCCAATATACTGATCCTCCAATATACATACCACACCCTCCAATATACTGATCCTCCAATATACATACAGTTTGTTTCTGGATTATAGGCTGATCTGTTTATCCTCGTGACTCAGGAGTGCATCTTACATACCTGTGTGGCTTATATGTGGACGAAAAAAAAATTGGCAGGAGGGAAAAAAAGAAAACAAAATGGGAAGTATACCAGTAAACCTGTACAGGAGTATACTCCTATAACACAAGAGGGCCACTTGTTAGCAGTTTTATTATCTGTCATTATTGTACCAACTGTGACTACACGGCACCTGTCATAAGTTTCTCGCCATGTGAAACCTCTAACAGTGTTGGAGTAGAGACCGTACTGAGTTTTTTTATGAGTACCTGCCTGTCACATGTTTGTGACTGAAACAGATCATCTAGAACTGTCATTTGCAATTATATAAAGGATGATTTGAAGAATGAAGTAGAAATAACATTCTTGTGAATTTAATTAATCATACCTTTTAATATGCATCACCATCATATCTTCTGGACTTACTTGGAAGCCATAGCGGATGTTTACAACAGCCTTTTGCTTTTCCGGCTTAATAGGTTATGAGCCAAATTCTAGAATGACTGACATGCTTGTTTATGATATGACTGGCTTGGTGTAACTTACAAGGAGAAGTAATATGGGACTATAAGAATTTGGTCAGCATGCAGGGGCCTTTGTTAACATTTAAAGTACAGAAAATGATGGAGATATTGTTTAGTAAACTGTACATAACATCCTCAGTCAGGCCCAATATATGTAGACAGGTACTCGTAAAAACTGTAGTACTGGTGAAGTTATTCAACAATTCTTTTTCATTCTCCCAATTTTTTTTTTGTCCACTTATAAGCTGCATCTGTATGTTAGCCACACACCCAACTAACAAGGAAAAAAGTTGACTTATTATCCTGAAAATACAGTAAATGCTTATACTGTATCCATCATAGAATCAAAGTTCAATCATACAACCAAAAAGATTATGGTCATATTGATTATGCAGTTTTAACAGATTCATGACTGTTACAAATATTAAATCTGATGCTAAGAAAGATACTCACCACGTTGCTTGTCTCTGGAAAGACTCTTTCCTCAGGTGGTGGTGGTGGTGGAGGGTCAGAGGGTGGCAGTGGTGGTTTAAATTGAATTGTGTCATTTGCAACAGGTGAAGTTTGGTTAGAGATGGCCATGGCTGCCGAAGTGGAGGCTGAAAGAGATGCTGTAGTTGGTGTATTGGTCAGCAAAGTCACAGCATTGGTGGTTGTTTTTTGTACAGGGACCCACTCTGGCTCCTTCAAGCGATGGACACTGCCACTAGACACTGGAAACTGCATCCTTAGCTTGGATTGCTCAGTGATTTTTTCTTGTGGAGTTAGCACTGGCAGAGGTTTGGCATTCTAGTTATAAGACAATGACATCAGTTGTTATAGAGACAAAACCACTTGGTTATAATGTGCATGCATTATAGACATGGTACCAAATATCAACACTTAAAATTCCAACATATAGCTTATAAGCTGTAGTAAATTAATCCTACAATTAATAAAAAATAAGAAAAAAAATCAAGCCTTACACAACCTACTTCTAGCATTTACTGGTAATAACCAAAAATTCACATATAATTCTAATCTATTATTTCCCCTTGACTTTTCTAAAATTGTTGATAAGAAATATAAAGCTGCTCACTCGGATGTTCATTACAATACTAGCAGAAGGATCCCGCACTTTAAACGGATGATGGATAAAACTTTCCTCCTCATCTTTCTCGTCTACTTCTGATTCCTCAGATGATGAGGACAGGAATGGTTCTGTGCCTCTGTTCTTCTCTTTAGATGATATGCGTTTACAAAAATCTAAACAAAGATAAATGTCAAATAAATTGGTACATTCATGGTATGTTCTACTATATAAAATTTAACAATATTGGTAAGAACACACTCTCCCAGAATTACTGATTTCAAGGAGAGGCATCTTATTTCACTAGGGATCAACTGTTAAATTTTCAACAATTATTTACTTTAATGAAGTACAGAAAATGATCATAAATCTCAAGCTTTACCTGTCAATTCATCTACAGAAGTGCCTCCAGCCTTGATGGTGGTAATATCTACTGAAGGACCATGACCAGACTTCGCCATCGCCAACACATTCTTACTGTAATACAAGTGTACACAGCTACATAACACCATAATATCTACAGACGTACGATGGTTAGACTTCATTACCAACAAAACTATCTTACTGTAACATAAGTGTACATTTCTACAAAACACTGCAATATTTTCAGACTTCAATAAAGCTGTAATGAAAATCTACACAAATACTTGAAACTAAAACTTAAACTAATATAATTACTCAGGTCTCCTATTTTATTTACAATATACTGTTTTCCTGTCTCCCTGGGATTACTGACAAGGCTGTCTACCTAGGATTATTGACAAGACTGTCATTACAGGATTTGAAAGTACGGACATGCAATGTTATGTTTCTTTGTTAAACACTTTACCTTTTTATCGCAATAACTTACATGGCTATTTCCCTTAATTTGGCCTTGTCAATCTTCACACGGAGGTCCAGTGACTTATCCAGTGACCTACTTCTTGACCTTCTGTCAGGTCGTCCTCGTTCCCTGCCTCTATCTCGCGACCTGTTCCTTGTTCGATCTTTCGATCTGTCCCGCAATCTCTCTGGTGATCTCTCTCGAGATCTGCCACGAGATCTCTCTGGTGATCTTTCTCGAGATCTGCCCCTACCTCGATCTTTATCCCTAGATCTGTTCCGTCCTGTTTCCCTTTAATGTAGAAACAACATGAAAATGAGTATTTATATTTGTTCTGCATTGTTGCCATCTGATACTATAAAATTGGATGGTTGAATGTCATCAAAAGTATGATAGCAAAATGTTTATGCTGAAGACAGTTGACTGGTACTGGCTGGTGACTGTCCCATTTATAATGAATTCTAAGAACATTTTCAAAGTCAATATGAATTTACGTAAGTTTTACATTGCTCCTTTGAGTCCTGGTCTTATTAAGATTCAGGACAGGATATCGCACAACATCCACAATGTCCTTAAATATGCCAATTACTTATACCATAGAAAAGAATTATGAAACTAAAATATTGTGATGCTTAACTGAGTCTACTACTAAATTGACAAGACACAATAATAAAAGAATAAATAAAGGAAATAGACACTACCAATTAGCAGGTTCTCTAATAAAGATACTGGTCGCAAGAAGTTGTCAACAGATTAAACACAACAGTATACCTGTAAGCATAAGCATCAAATCCTCGATCCTCCCATCGATTTGGTGACCTTGATTTTGATTTGCGACTCCTTCTTCCAGGAGAATGAGAGCTCTTGTGTTTCTTTGGAGACTTAGACCTAAACAAAAACAAAAAAATATTGTATTGAATTATATTGAAATATGATTGTGAAGCAAAAATGGTGTGGACAAAATAACATGGAGAAAGTACAACTTAATGATTGTCATTATTTATAATAAATAAAGCACAATTTCAAAAAGAGTGGTTGAAAATTGAGGCAGAGCATCTTCAGATAAAAGAAACTGCAAAGATGAAAACTCTTTAAAAAAGTTATTGAATAAAAATCCTTTTTGAAAGAATTGCTGAATGAAAATGCAAACTGTATAAGATTATCCTTTTTGTGATGATCATGAGCTTAACAATTATACAAACCTAGAACGTGATCTGTGCTTTCTTTTTGATTCGTCTCGTTTTGTATCATCTTTCTCTTGGTCCTTAGAACTCTTGTGCTTTTTCTTTTTCTTGTGTTTTTTATTTTTCTTCTTTTTCTTCTTTTTTGATTTCGATGATTTGGTTTCCTTTTCTGAGTCGCTTAGTGACCCTGTCTCTGAAACTGCATTGTTTCCCTCATCTTCATCACTATCCTCATCATTCGAGTCATGCTTCTCAGAATCATCGTTTGAAGAAAGAACTTCCCCTGGGCAAAATTAAAGACTATCATACATTAACACCTGCAAACATGTTACAATATGTAGGTATCCTCCGATTCCTTATTCATAATACTTCAAAACACCACAAACTTCACTTTCACTTTGATCATTACCAGGGCAATATACCTTGTGAAAATCTTATTTTTCATTCAGAAAACCAACAGGTTATTAGCAATGACTGCAATAATACATATGTTCCTCTGATGATGCTTAAATAAGACTTTCTGTCAGAAGTAAAATACATACCGTCTTCTAGAGCCTTTTGTCGTTCAGATTCTTTTCCTGTAAGCTCACCTGATGAAATGATCTCTGCACTAAGCTGACTGATTTTTAGAGATATCTGTTTCTTCGTTTGAGTCTTTTTACCAAACTGAGCGGCAAGTGCGATGTTAATGTTTGTGTTTACTTTTCTGACCTCCTCTTCTGTCTTTGTACCTGGGAGAGGAGGCAATGGTGATATTGTCCCATCTATCATTAGTATTTCCTGATCTCTGTTTGTAATGGAACTGGATAATGCAAATGACGACTTGGTACTCTCCATGTTTATAGGGCCTCCAGGTGATTCAATATTGATCCTGCTCTGTTGATCAGAAGAGGGCTTGGAATTTACATCAGTGGAAACTATGGAACTTTTCCCACATACATTTTCTGCTTTTACCTGCGGTTTAGAAACAGATCTGTCTGTATTAAAATCTTTTTCTAGCTTCTCTGTCATGTCCCATTTTGATCTTTTTCCTTTTGTCTCTAATTTTGCCCCCACTGATTTCTGCTTCCTGTTGATTATTGATTGAGTTTGAGAACACTCCACCTGTACACAGACACCTTTTTGTGAGGTATTTTGTGATATAGCTGTCAGCTCATCATCTAGAAGTCTATTCATTTCTTCAACAGATGATACAACCTCCCCAAACTTACCATTCTTTGACACTGCATCATCAGCTTTACCCTGATACTCTGATTCTATTTGTTGCATCTTAGTTGCCAAAAAGTCTTTAAACATTTCATCGACTATACTTTGTTCTAGAGGTCCCTCTACATTTCTTTCCTTCTGCATCAGAGAGCGTTTAAGCTTATACAGGTTATGGTTAGTCGACACTGGATTAGAGTCACCACTAGAGCACTTACTCTCTGCATCCTTTGCCATATTTGAAGGGTCTGATTGCTTTAATTTTTCAGCAATCAGTTCCTTGACTGGCTTTGGTGGGTCTTTCTTTGTAACTGGGAGAGGGATTTGTGATTCATTCTTACTGACATCATATCTGACTAACTTAATGAGCTTCCTGGACTTTGTCTGTGGTTTAGTTTTTGGTGAACCATCAGGTAAAGGAATTGAGTCCATTACAGGTAATGGTATTGACCCTACTCCAGCAGTGCCTTTCTCCATGGATGAGGCCATTCTTATGCACCAAGGGAATCCACCAACAGGCAGAGTAAACGGCTGCCCCTCACGGCCCTTCCATACTGCAAACACAAAGCATATCAAGAAATATTAAATCACAACATATATGCTATTTCATTTAAACTATTCAATGACTCTATGACCAATTTTTTTCAATAAATATTTTTGTATATCTTTAAAAGATAAAGTCTGCAAAGGTTTAATGAAAGAAAATCTTTATTCTGTGGTTACTGGTGTAAAAAGAAAAAACCTGCAAAAATGAGACATCACAAAATTTGCTTGAAATATTATTGATTTCATAATGGGATTATGGAAAGGGATAGTAATATAATTATTTGAAGAAACTTGAAGATTTAAGAGGATCAATATATGAAAATGTAAGAGATATCAAAACTTGAACTTTTAAAATGCGAGACAAATCTTTGCATGCAATGATAGTTGGAACCATATAGTTTTAAGCACTAATCTTGACTCACTATAATATATACATAATTATTATTCATATTAAAGGAGTCTGATCCTGAAACATATTTTAGTATAACTTGTTTCAATTAATGTATTCAAAGTATTTGGAAGTTTTGGAACTACGATAATAGATCAAGTACCTATGCTATTTATTTATACCAACAAACCTGTTCATTAGGACTTTAATAGCACTTTACTTTCACATATACATTGGGGTGGATCTGATAACATCAATGCAGGCCACAAAGGCTTAGTTGAAACTTGTCAGAAACCAAACGACCCAGGTCAGTATCACAATGATTCAAACTAGGTTTATGTTTTTAATTCCAAACTGGAATTGAAAATTGAAATGTCGGCAAGAGTTGCTTAGTAAACAAAACTTCAATGTGGTATATCAAGAAATGTAACCAAAAAATAATAATCAGAATAAATAATTATTAAAGATCATTTTTTTAAAGTAAGAAAATGACCAATAAAATGGTATTATAATTTTAGCACGAAGCTACTCATTAGAAATTTTGCCAGTACTAAAATATATGTGGTACGAAAATGAATTGGTAAGAAATTTCCCGCTACGACATGAGCAGGAGGATAACAGAATTATCCAAATAACATGCATCACTTTACAAAGCAAAATGATGGTTGACTTTTATGCACTAAAAATAGGTTTCCCCGAAACGGATTCAGGCTATCACAGTATGTCATTTTAGACCTGATCACAGCTACCGCTTGTAAAATGGTAGTTTACAGTTGACAAGTTTTATACTTATGATTAATAAAAACGTCTTATAAACACGTTTGTTATTCCAATAGTGTATTACTTTTCACTTTAGGAGGCTAGGAAAACATTGTTTTTGAAGCATCACAGTGAGTGCGAATCTCATGTGGTTTAAAATGTGCTGATAGTGAAATGCCTGCCGTTCATCAAATTGGACTATTAAGCAATAAACGATACCGTCCTTAATCTGTTTTCACATTAAAAACAAATTAATTAACCAAACTAGACGCAGATGTTCGAAGTGTGCTGCCATTTATAACTAATATTCCATCTCAGCATAATAGGACTACATTCACGTTTCTTTTTTAAAATTGAGCAGTTGCAGTTTGTTTACATTGCAAATGAAATTCATCGTTGTGGTCAAAATTACAACACTTTTAACACTTACAAGCCAATGGTATCAACACGCTAGCGACTATAATTTAACAAAACATTCATTTTGGGCTTGTTCTTTGGAATATATATTCTACAGTACAGTAATTATGTATTGAAATAGCGAATTACCTCTATTTCCGATGTTTAAGCAATATTTTTGTGTCACATTCTGATATGTATTTTCATCTCGCCATTTTAGCCGGAAGTACCTTGTTCATTCTAATTTATCGAATCGGTTCGCATACGCCAATTTCCGAACTGGATTATATCTGTTATTATTATTATTATCATTACTATTTCAGGTACATTTGTACTTGAATTAATTTGAAAAGGCAGAGAGTCTTCAGTTTCTCACATACTTCAGCGATATACCAACCTACATAACAAGTTTAATTACAAGCAATCCCTATATGGACGATCTGCTACTATATGTATTAACTAGGATACGACAGTTTCATTTACATGTATTTTAAATAGCAGCATATTGGCAGTCGTTCAGTCTGCACATATGAAAAAAGATCCCAAGGGCGGAGGGGGAGGGGCAGAGGCAGGGGAACTGGGCCAGGGACGGGTGTACTGCCCAGATATCGGAATCAACTCTGACATCACATGCATGTTCTCTGTACATATGATTCTATAAAAGTAGCGATCCCAGTCGTTGCCGCCATGTTATATCCTAGGGACAAGATCGTACTCTCTTTTATTTGACAAGCAAGTAGAGTTACGATGTTTATACTGTTTGTCATCGGAAAACGGAGATGACAATAATTTTTACTTTTTACTGTGTGATAGAATTCCTAATTCCTAATGATAACGCAATCACTCGGACGGAATAAAAATATCATGTATCGGAATCACCTCAGTCTATTAGCAATTTGAAGACAAGACAAGATAAATATCCTTATATGCAAACAACATCAACAGTTTCATATAAAATCATTAGCAATGACCTGAATATATAATTTCTACAAATGTGCCTCATTACTACCTAACTTTTATGTAAAATGACGAAAAACACAATCAGACTTAACAAAGCATTGGTCGATCCTTACCGCTACCTGTTGCTGTCGCTACTTACGTCCTCACTTGTTCTTGGCTAGGAGATCCTCTTTAGTAAACCTTTCAGTTGACTAGGAGATTCCCTACAGCAAACCTCTTAGTTGTCTAGGAGATCCACTACAGCAAACCGCTTAGTTGACTAGGAGATCCCCTACAGCAAACCACTTGGTTGTCTAGGAGATCCAATACAGCAAACCTCATAGTTGTCTAGCAGATCCCCTTCAGCAAACCTCTTAGTTGTCTAGGAGATCTACTACAGCAAACCTCTTAGTTGACTAGGAAATCCTCTACAGCAAACCTCTTAGTTGTCTAGGAGATCCACTACAGCAAACCTCTTAGTTGACTAGGAGATCCCCTTCAGCAAACCTCTGAGTTGACTAGGAAATCCTCTACATCAAACCACTTAGTTGTCTAGGAGATCCAATACAGCAAACCTCTTAGTTGTCTAGGAGATCCCCTTCAGCAAACCTCTTAGTTGACTAGGAAATCCTCTACATCAAACCACTTAGTTGTCTAGGAGATCCAATACAGCAAACCTCTTAGTTGACTAGGAGATCCACTACAGCAAACCTCTTAGTTGACTATGAGATCCACTACAGCAAACCTCTTAGTTGACTAGGGGATCCCCTTCAGCAAACCTCTTAGTTGACTAGGAAATCCTCTACAGCAAACCACTAAGTTGTCTAGGAGATCCACTACAGCAAACCTCTTAGTTGACTAGGAGATCCACTACAGTAAACCTCTTAATTGACTAGGAGATCCCCTTCAGCAAACCTCTTAGTTGACTAGGAAATCCTCTACAGCAAACCTCTTAGTTGTCTAGGAGATCCAATACAGCAAACCTCTTAGTTGACTAGATCCACTACAGCAAACCTCTTAGTTGACTAGGGGATCCCCTTCAGCAAACCTCTTAGTTGACTAGGAAATCCTGTACAGCAAACCACTTAGTTGTCGAGGAGATCCAATACAGCAAAACTCTTAGTTGACTAGATCCACTATAGCAAACCTCTTAGTTGTCTAGGAGATCCCCTTCAGCAAACCTCTTAGTTGTCTAGGAGATCTACTACAGCAAACCTCTTAGTTGACTAGGAGATCCACTACAGCAAACCTCTTAGCTGACTAGGAGATCCCCTTCAGCAAACCTCTTAGTTGACTAGGAAATCCTCTACAGCAAACCTCTTAGTTGTCTAGGAGATCCAATACAGCAAACCTCTTAGTTGACTAGATCCACTACAGCAAAACTCTTAGTTGACTAGGAGATCCACTACAGCAAACCTCTTAGTTGACTAGGAGATCCCCTTCAGCAAACCTCTTAGTTGTCTAGGAGATTCACTACAGGAAACCTCTTAGTTGTCTAGGAGATCCCCTACAGCAAACCTCTTAGTTGTCTAGGAGATCCCCTACAGCAAACCTCTTAGTTGGCTAGGAGATCCCCTACAGCAAACCACTTAGTTGTCTAGGAGATCCCCTACAGCAAACCTCTTAGTTAGCTAGGAGATCCACTATAGCAAACCACTTAGTTGTCTAGGGGATCCACTACAGCAAACCTCTTAGTTGACTAGGAGATCCACTATAGCAAACTACGTAGTTGTCTAGGAGATCCACTACAGCAAACCTCTTAGTTGTCTAGGAGATTCCCTACAGCAAACCTCTAAGTTGTCTAGGAGATCCACTATAGCAAACCACTTAGTTGGCTAGGAGATCCACTACAGCAAACCTCTTAGTTGACTAGGAGATCCACTACAGCAAACCTCTTAGTTGACTAGATCCACTACAGCAAATTGTCATTGCAGCATGCTTCGAATGTCTACTGGGAAACCCTTCCTCTATTGGATGTCTGCCCTCAAGTATTCCTTGCTCCTACCCTGCTCTTCATGCCTGCTCCCGATTTTCCCAAATTGACGAATTTTGGCCAAATGAAAGTGTCTGGGTCCGTCTGTCATTTTAACTTGACATACTTTAAGTACGTATACCAGATTGGCTGCCTGTCCTCAAAGTGCACATGCAGCATTGTTCTTTATGTATAAGAACATAGCGTGTTGATCTTCCATTTTCCAGGTGGCCTCCCAAGATATTTTTACCAATGTCCATAACCTACTGTATTCATAGCTCGCTTGGCATCCCATTTTTTTCTTGTCCTTGTCACATCCATCGCTACCCAGAGTGTTTCTCATCCTACTGACGGCTCCTTTTGTTTCTACGATCACGTATCGTCTTAGATACCCATTAACTATCCTCTCTATTGTCACTATAGTGGTGATGCGGTACGTTTATTTTCAATAAAGTAACAACGCAATAACCATTGCTATCTCTTTATAACGCTGCATGCACATGGAGTTCAGGGTAAAAAAATACAATTTGGTCAAATATGCCGGTCCCAGTACTCAGTCCTCCACTGTTCGCTCCCTACCTTTAATAAAAAAAACCATTCGAGATGGATTGTAATACGGACCGTAATTGATCGAAACGAATGACAGTTCTTGAAACCAAGTCTTAAATACTGTTTAAGCTAACCGAACAGCCGTCATCGTTTTTGTTTTCTTACCGAACAGATATAGTTTACTCTCTGTCGACAGTTTAATAGTCAGTAACATTTCCTGCGTACATGTATTGTGATCAGTATTGGCTACTAGACTAACTTACAATTTACCTTAAAAAATGAGAAATGTAATTATGTGTATCATGAACGGCGTGTTACTTATATATAATAACACACGTTAACCGAAAATGTCCACACCACATTGGCTATCGTGTAAATATATGCTCGCATTACTGAATTGAATTCCTTGGCATATGATTTGCCCGCGGAAATTAAAATTGTACCGCCGTGATGTACTAACATTCAAGATGAAATGCAGCTAGTACTTATCAATAATTTATCATGAAGACAACTGTAGGGCCGTGAAACAAAGGGGAGGGACATCAAAGTATTCAGATCAATCAGTCTGAAACGTTTTCTTTCTGTATAGATAATCAATGTGGACTCTTGGTAGATACAACGATAAACACGTAGAGAGAGTTGTTGTAATTAACGACTGAGGCACGGGAGAGGTAGTGTAAGACTGAAATGGTATTAATTAAGGGGTAGATTATCTCACTATTCTAGGAATCAGCTCGGGAAATACATAATATATAAGGTTTGGTTCTTATATCTTCGTCATAACGGACAATCCAATACGCTACTGGCAGTGTGTACCTGTGTAGAGTTCTGTACTGTTCCTGTTGTTCCTTTTGTTTTTCCTTACGTTTTGGTGTCTATACTGTTCCTGTTGTTTTTCCTTTTGTTTTGGTGTCTATATTGTTCATGTTGTTCTTCCCTATGTTTTGGTTTCTATATTGTTCATGTTGTTCTTCCTTATGTTTTGGTGTCTATACTGTACCAGCTGTTTTTCCTTATGTTTTGGTGCCTATATTGTTCATGTTGTTTTTCTCTTTTTTCATTTTTTAACGATATACTTAACTATGCACCCTTCTTGTTTAACAAGTTGAACTGTTTGGAGTACAAATAGGACGGGTTATATAGCATTACTGAGTTAAAGCTTGTTAGAAGTGGATAGCTGGTAGAAATAACAATAATGATCGGAAGGTCAACGGACGAGGCAGGTTAGAATGAAATCGAACAAATTTACTGTTATATCTTATCATAAATAAAAGTGCGAACAGAGCCTCATCAGCTTCATGTAAATTGGCTTTTCAATACTAAGAACTTCTGAATTGCGTGATATTTATTTAGATGATGTAATATTTATCGATCGACATGCAATGCACGTTGTATACAATCTGTAAATATGACAGAAGACCAGCTGTAATAAATTGCGATGTGTTTGTCTAAATAGCTCATATGGAAAGGTTCTGTCGATGCCCTTCATTGCGCTTCTATAACACGCAATAAGCACGGCTTCTATACATGGAATCCTGAAATATTGATGACGTTTTCTAGACGTAAAACAGCTCAGTTAATTAGATATACAGCGGAGAAAGATACTGTATACTATTAACAGGGCGTCGCTGTAAAACTGCTGGCACTGCTTTTTTGTTTTATAACGTGTAGAACGTCAAAGAGGATGACGCTTAATTGCTATGGAGCTAGTTTCGGTAAGGCATCACGAAATCAAATGTG